ATAAATAGGTACTACTGTGGCGGGAAGGTAAACAGCGTTTCCGTGCACTCTGGTTTCCATCACAGTGTCCCATTGCACCAGAAGCGGTTTAGTCATGCTGGCCACATGACTCGGAAAGCTGTCTGTGGACAAACACCAGCTCCCTCGGCCTGAAAGCGAGATGAGCGCTGCACACCAAGGTCGCCTTTGACTGGACTTAACTGTCCAGGATCCTTTACCTCTGAATCCCAATTGCTGGGAATCCAAAGTGGGGAGTGTTGCTGCTGTGCTCAGGTCTTGCTTGTGGGTTTGGCTTTGGGGTACCTGGTTGGCCATTGTGAGAAGAATCATAGAATCATAGAGTTGGAAGAGACCCCAAGGGCCATCGAGTCCAACCCCCTGCCAAGCAGGAAACACCATCAGAGCACTCCTGACATATGGTTGTCAAGCCTCTGCTTAAAGACCTCCAAAGGAGGAGACTCCACCACACTCCTTGGCAGCAAATTCCACTGTCGAACAGCTCTTACTGTCAGGAAGTTCTTCCTAATGTTTAGGTGGAATCTTCTTTCTTGTAGTTTGGATCCATTGCTCCGTGTCCGCTTCTCTGGAGCAGCAGAAAACAACCTTTCTCCCTCCTCTATATGACATCCTTTTATATATTTGAACATGGCTATCATATCAGCCCTTAACCTCCTCTTCTCCAGGCTAAACATGCCCAGCTCCCTTAGCCGTTCCTCATAAGGCATCGTTTCCAGGCCTTTGACCATTTTGGTTGCCCTCCTCTGGACACGTTCCAGTTTGTCAGTGTCCTTCTTGAACTGTGGTGCCCAGAACTGGACACAGTACTCCAGAAGAAGATGGTGGACTAGAGGGGGCCCCTTTGGCCTGATCCTGCCGGGCTCATTTCTCAGGTTCTTAAACTCTGGAATGGGGCACACAATCCAGCTTCCTGCAAAGTTCAGCTTATTTACATTCCTATTTACCTAAAACATTGTTACACCATGAAACACCCAAGACACTGAGCAAGGTTTAGAAGCCAATATACGGGTTAGCAACCACGACGCACGCTAGCAAAATTAGTAGATAAAAGAAATTTCTAGAACAAGCACTGGGAATAAGATGAGAGGGAGGGGATGCGAAAATAATGCAGAGAGAGAAGATACCAGAGTCCAAGCATACCAGGCAGAACATCATCAGAATCTCACCCACCTGGTACCAGGCAGGTCAAACAAACATTCCAGGAAAAGTTAAGAACCGTTTCCAACCAAAATGCCTCTCTTTAAATTAAAAGGTGTTTCCAAGGCACAGGAATGGCTATCAGAGTAGGACCCTTCCAAATATATGCTTTTTAAAAAAGCATGTGATTCACACTCAAAAGCTAAAGGAGAGTAGTATGAATGAGATTTTGATTCCTTGCCGTGAATTGCAAAACCAGAATAAATTATGCAAAATCATGCAAACTGACTGGAATTTTTGATGGTGTGGGCAGGAGAATTTGGCTTCTTGTTGTATGAGAATTTGGACACCTTGCATGCAAATGTTTTATTTTGGGGTACCAATGCCCCTGAAAATATTTTCGGATGATTATGGCTTCAGAGCTACTAGCTTTCTACCTGCTGAGGGATTGGCCAGGATACCCCACGACAGCGATATTGCTCTTCGGAGGAGAGATCTTGTTGAAAACTGGGCTGCAAGGAAGAAAACAAACAACAACTTAGAATTTCCCTCTCCCAAAAGATCTCTCTCTCCCCACACCATGCTTTTTATTCACCAAACCCTCCTTTCCAAGGCAAGCTATGTTTTGTCCCCACCTCTTCAATCCTGCCCTTAATCCAGAACCATGAGGACTAGAACCTATGTTTCATTTTTAGGGGAAGAGCCATAGCTCAGTGATCGGACACCTGCTTTGCATGCAGAAGGTCCCAGCTTCAATCCCTAACAGCATCTCCAGGTTGGGCTGAGAAAGGGGTCCCTTTCTGAGACCCTGGAGATCCATGGATGGTAGTTGTGGTCCAAAACCTTCAGAGGCCCCAGGGGAGGGCAAAGGGCACCCTGGAAAGGCTATCTGCCACTAATCACACCAAGTGAAGTTTTGAAATTTGACTAGGAGAGGGAGCCAGCATGATTCAACCTCAAAATGTGAAAAATTTGAATGTGTTGCTTTAAAAGCGTGGGGGGCGGTTCTTTCTTTCTGGTTTATTAGGAGCAGCCAAAAGCCCCAACTGCAGGTCACGGATTGGGCCCAGAGGAGAGCATCCTGACACCATGGAAGTGGTCCAAAGCAGGCATTATTTGCCCACCCCTGTCTCCTACCATGTCCTGCCAGCAACTTTTAATGGCCAGTCTGCACCTAAACAGGATTCAACCAAGCTTTTAATAAAGCTCAAAGCTTGATAGTCCTATCTGCTCCTCTGGAACCCCAATTAACAGGCAATGCATTGGAAAGGAAGTTTTATTCAGAAGAGATCCACTAAACTTAACGCTCTTAGTTTACTCACGCCCATTATTAGCGCCCGTGAGTCTACTCTGCGTATGACTAACGCTGGATCCAACCCAACAGGCCGAGTGGCGACTTGTTTTTCGTTCAAAAGTTTGTTTTGGTACTAGTCTGCTACTTTATAAAACGTGTGCACTTAACCCCACCCCCCAACCCAAGACAGCGCTTGGCTCACTGACGTACAGACAGGAGAGTTTGGGCGGCGGAAGGCGGGGGGCGGAGAGACGATGGAGGGTTTCCTCAAGAAGATGCGTGGCTGGAAATTAGGAGCAGCCTCTGAGCACGTGCAGAGCGTGCCCCACAGCCTCACAGGATTCACGACCACCGCCTTCGGAGACTCGGGACCTTCTCTTCGGGGCCCAAACACACAAGCTCCCCCACTCCCACCCCAAGCCCGACTCCGGTTCTGGAACCGCTAGTCTCCACTCTCCTAGTCAAACGAGGGATTGAAAAAAAGCAGTCGCCGCCGAGAGCTTTGCAGCCCCTGAAATCAACAGATCGCGGCGAGTTACCACTATCTTTTAAGGCCACCTCGGTGCAATGGGTCTACTCTGGAGGCGGACTTAGGAGCCCCGCGCCCCAGAGCGCCTCCCTCCTTGGCAAGAAGAGCGCGCCGCCTCTGCCTCACCTTCCCCGCCTCGATGCCGGGCGCCAGGCTCAGCAAGAAGAGCAGGATCGGGGGCCCCGGAGGCGGCAGCAGCAGCAGCGGCTCCCCCATCCGGTCCGGCGGCAGCGGCGGCGGCTGGGCTGGGCCGGGGAAGGCTGGGCCGGTCCCTCGGGCGCCGCCTCCTCGCGCTCCTCCCGCGCGTAAAAGCGCACCGCCTGGCGGCCGTCGGAGTTCCGGGCGCGCCGGACCCCAAGCTCGGCGGGAAGGCGGAGCCTGGGAAAGAGCGAGCCGGCTGGTTACGGGCCAGGGAGGGAATGCCGTTTCGCAAGCGCTGATCGCCTGCTGAAATCCCTCTTTACCAACTCGAACAGCTGGAAAGGGGAATCGGACAAATGCACGACCGGAGAGATCAGTGGCTGCCAGCCATGAGGGCGAGCAAGCATCTCTCCCCGCTGGAGAGGGCGGATGCCCTCGGGTCTCACTTGCCGGCTTGCAAACAAGGCAGCGGGTTGTCTGCTCGAACAGGAATCCCGGGCTAAACAGGCCTTTGCCCCGATACGCGGCAGCCAGCATGCTCTTCCGAGGTTGCTTTTATTCATTTTATTACGATTATATCCTACCTTTGCCCCAAGAAGCTCCACGTGGTTTACAGAGTCCTCGCTCACACGGATTTTATCCTCAAAACAATCCTGGGAGGTTGCCTTCTTGGGGCTGTTCTTATGTAACCTCCAGGTCCAGAGGCAGTCTATCTAGATTCTTTAGGGTATTTGGCCACTGGGAGAACAGGATGCTGGACTAGATGGGCCCTCTTTGGCCTGATCCAGCAGGCTCTTCTTACCTACTTACTTGGAAACAGTGGCATGCTCATCCTTGAACTTCTCTGCATTAAAATTAGATCCAAGCAGTCAGTCGTCTTGATTATTAATTTTTACATCCACTGTTTAAGAAGCAAGGAGGAAGGCTCCAGAATACCAGATGGATGGAAGTCAGTCTTTGTTCAGCCTTGAGTCATAACAGCCAGATGGATGCATGGAGAACGCGTGGGGAACGTCAGTCTTCAGCCTCTTGATTTGAAAACAGAATAATTAGCAAAGAACAATTAAAGGCTAACTAATTCCCCCAGTGATGGCTGGTTGCCATTGGGACTGATAGGGCAGAAGGCAGGGAGTTTAACAGTAGGGGGCGCCAGAGCCAATGACAGGCAGAAACAACAAATTCCAGTTTTGTCCCCAAGCTTCCCACCCCACCCCCGCTGAAGTCTACAAGGGACAACACTGTGACTAAAGGGGGGGGGAGCTGATGGGTAGGGCCACCCTCTGGACTGGATGAGGGCAAGCGAAAGTTGGTGGAGCAGTGCCCCATTTCCCCTCCAGGACTAATCACCACTGAAAACAACTAGGAGCAATGATTTACTGGAGCAGGGCAGCAGTGTGGTTTTTTGTTTTTGCTGTAAACCTTAAATGACACTTTGAGGAGGCAGCCTTCAAGTTCCCCTGAAGTTTGAGGGAAATGCCTCCTCTCCCAAACTTCAGATGGCTTATATCCACATTTGGGGTGGGGTGGGGAACACACTTCTAAAATATATTTTGGTACTTTTTTTGAGCTGTGAATTGCATGCAAAAAAATAAGGCTTGCAATAACTTTGCCCAGATTTTGTACAAGTTTGCCAAAGAAAGAAAGAAAGAAAGAGAGAGAGAGAGAGAAAGAGAGAGGGGGAGAGGAAGGAAGGAAGGAAGGAAGGAAGGAAGGAAGGAAGGAAGGAAGGCATCTGCAGCCAGGCTATCTGAGGCAGCCACCTGTTCCCTTAAGTCAGGTGTGGAGAACCTTTGGCCCTCCACAGAAGTCTAGTGTCCAGATCAAAGGAAGTGATAGAGACACTCTATTCTGCCTTGATCAGACCGCACTTGGAGTGCCTGTGTCCAGTTCTGGGCGCCACAATTTAAGAAGGATGTTGACAAGCTGGAAGGTGTGCAGAGGAGGACGAGGACCAAGATAACCAAGGGTCTGCAGACCGAGTCTTGCAAGGAGTGGTTGAGGAAGCTGGGGATGCTCAGCCTGGAGGAGAAAAGACTGAAGGTCTGTCGCGAGACAGGAGATTCCAAGTCAGCATTAGGAAGAACTTCATGAGGGCAAGAGCTGGTTGACAGTGGAACAGACTCCCTCAAAAGTGGGTTGCCTCTCTTCAGTGGACGTTTTTAAACAGATGCCAGAGACTCATCCGTGAGAAGTTCTTTTGCTCTGATTCCCGCATTGCTAGACTAGATGACTCTTGGAGTTCCTTCCAATCTTACATTTCTCTGATTCTAGAAGTGCTGATGAACTACAGCTCCCATCATCCCTGGGCCATTGGGGCTGATGCGAGTCGTAATTCAGCAGCCTCCAGAGGAGCAAAGGTTAAAGAGGGGAAAGTGCCGCCCAGACCTTGTGGCTGAATGAGGCAGAGTACAAAAACAGGAGACGCTGGGAGGGAGAGGGAATATCTAATATACAGGATAATCGGTACTTTTCTTCTGGGGGGGAAATGGTGCTGGTACTCACAGTTAGTGCCAGATTTTTAACCAGTACTTTTCTTATAGGAAAAAAGGTGCCTGTGCTATATGCCTTTGTTTACCCCCAGGAAAAAAAGCACTGAGGATAATCTTCCCCCTTTGGGCCTCTGGAAGCAGAAGGGTTAACCCACTTGCAGGAGCAACACCCATCACCCCTGCTTTCCTGCCCGCCCGCCCCCCAGCAACCCTCAGACAAATAAATTATTTGCTTAAGTAACCAAGCACCAGTTAGCTCCAGAACAAGCTGGCCAGACTCTCAGCAAGTTCTAGTGAGGTGTTTGCCTGAGGCCCCAGCAGCCCAGAGGCGATGGTTTTATGGGCTGTGGGCTGCATCCTTCTGGCCCTCCTCACCTGGTGGTTCTGGCAGCCCCAGGCTCCTCCCGGCAGAGCCACCGATGGCAAGAGGCAACCACGAAGACGGGGACCCGCAGAGGAGGAGCACAAGGCTGCTGGGGTCCCTTTGGGAGAAGAGCGGGGGTCTCCTGTAGGGGGCTGCCGCCTCATCTGCAAGCCCTCTGCCCTGGCTCAGGCCCTGGTCAAGAGCTTCTGCCGCTCTGCCCACCTGGAGACCAAGCGGTGGTCCTGGAAGCGGTGGCCAAACCTGCAGACTGCTGTGCAGCTCCTGTGGCCCCCGGATCGCCCACTGGAGTTTTCCAGGGACCACCTCCAAATGGCGGACGAGGGCATCGTTGCGTTGGATTGGGTGTCCGGACCCGTGGACGGAGGCAGGAAAGGCACTGACGCAGTGGTTCTCCTGGTGGTGCCCAATGCCACTGGCGCGATCAGCAGGAACGTCCAGCAGCTGTGCCGACTGGCCCTCCGGCAAGGCTACCATCCGGTCATCTTCAACCGGCGTGGGCACAACGGCTGCCCACTGACCACCCCCAGGCTGCAGCCCTTTGGCGACCCAGACGACCTGAAAGAGGCAGTGGCATACATCCGGTTCCGGCACCCCACCAGGACCCTGTTTGCCGCGAGCGAAGGGTCAGGGTCAGGCCTGCTGCTCTCTTACCTGGGCGAATGCGGCTCGTCCAGCTACCTGTGTGGCGCTGCCTGCATCTCGCCCATTCTGAAGGCCCAGGACTGGTTTGAGGCTGACCTCCCTTGGCTGTATGAATGGAGTCTCCTCCTGCCCCAGAAGAGGAACGTCAGCAGGTGGGTATTTCCATAGCTGTCAACTTTCAGATTTGAAAATAAGGGATCAGCAGCCTCACCTGTCCCGGGGACAGTCTACGGGATATCTAACAATCCGGGATAGCAGCAGGAAGCAGGAGGAAACAGAGCTGGAATAAGGGAATTTCCTGCAAAAAAAGGGAAGGTTGACAGCTATGGGTATTTCCAAAGCTTCTGGCATAGCACGCCCTCCCACATTTCTCCGATGAAAATAGGAAAAGTGGGACATGAAGGGATCAAATCAGAAACCGGGACGGCTTCTGTAAATCTGGAAAATAGGGACACTTGGAGGGTTGGGAATAGGGCCTGAACCAGTGGTATGCGGTGAACTTTTTCTTGGGGGGAACAGTTAGGACCAGAGGGGCCAGTGAAGGAGATGGGGGGGCACATGTCACAAGCATGATGCCTTGATGGACTGGTGTCACTCACGTGAGCATCATGCCTCCCTCCCTAACCTGGACAGAAGCTTTCCAGGCTTTGGGCACAAGGAGAACATTTAGAGGACTAGCCTAGTCTCCCTAGTCCACTGACGGCATGCCAATAGCCTGAACTGGTGGTGGTGCACATGGGGGCACCCATAAAACTCCTGAAGGCCCCCTAACACACATACTGCCCCACCCCATGGCCGTTACGTGGTGAAGGTGGTTGCTACCCCCCCTTCAGTTCCTAGAGGTGATGGAGGAAGCGAAAAGACTGACACTCTTTCCCACTTCCTGCTGTGGCTTTGTGGTCTTCAAAGCCCAGATTTAAATCTACAGGATCTGACTTTGACGCAGATCCCTTTGAAAAAGCAAAGTGTGGGTGCACCCCCTCTTTCGCGTGGTGGGAAACCGATCCGGGGCGGGAAGTGATGAGAAGCTCAAAAGGAACTCCTCCTTCAGTTCAGCTGTGGAACTCCCTGCCACAGGAGGCCGTGATGGGCACCGACTTGGTTGGCTTTAAGAGAGGATTAGACAAATTCATGGAGGAGGAGAGGGCTATTGATGGCTGCTAGCCAAAGCTGGTTCTGCTCTGCCTCCAAAGCGGGAGGTGGCAATGCTTCTTCTGAATGCCGGTTGCTGGAAACCACACGAGACGTTGCTCTTGAGATCGAATCCTGCTTGCAGGTTTCCCATAGGCATCAGGGTGGTGCCTTCGAGCATAGTTCGTTGGACTGGATGGGCCACTGTCCTGACCCAGCAAGCTTGCCTTCTGTGCTTAAAAATCTCAATGAGTCCCTTACAGTAATAATAATAATAATAATAATAATAATAATAATAATAATAATATTGTTGGACTATTTTGATTGTTGTTAGCCGCCCTGAGCCCAGCTTCGGCTGGGGAGGGCGGGATATAAATAAAATTTATTATTATTATTATTAATAATAATAATAATAATTTATACCCCGCCCATCTGGCTGGGTTTCCCCAGCCACTCTGGGCGACTTCCAACAGAATATTAAAATACAGTAATGCATCAATCATTAAAAGCTTCCCTAAACAGGGCTGCCTTCAGATGTCTTCTAAAAGTCTGGTAGTTGTTGTTCTCTTTGACATCTGGTGGGAGGGCGTTCCACAGGGCAGGTGCCACCACCGAGAAGGCCCTCTGCCTGGTTCCCTGTAACTTGGCTTCTCGCAGCGAGGGAACTGCCAGAAGGCCCTCAGAGCTGGACCTCAGTGTCTGGGCAGAACGATGGGGGTGGAGACGCTCCTTCAGGTATGCTGGACCTTTGAGGCCGTTTAGGGCTTTCAAGGTCAGCCTCAACACTTTGAATTGTGCTCGGAAACATACTGGGAGCCAGTGTAGGTTTTTCAAGACCGGTGTTATGTGGTCTCGGCGGCCGCTCCCAGTCACCAGTCTAGCTGCCGCATTCTGGATTAGTTGCAGTTTCGGGGTCACCTTCAAAGATAGCCCCACATAGAACTCTGATGGTGCCTCTTGGATAGAGAAACAGGGTGTGTGCAGAAACCAGCCTCTTGTGCAAAGGTCAATTCACATTCGTTGCCCTGCCTGCTTTCCCTTCCGGCCCCACATACCCCTGGCATGTGGCCCCCTGGAAAATGCGGTCCCCAGCCTGAAAAAAACTTCCCCACCCGCTGCTCTGTGTTCCAGGTACACAGAGGCCCTGGAGAAGGTGGTTGAGATGGACAGGGTCCTTGGGAGCAGCTCCTTGCGGGCTTTTGAAGCTGCCCTCTTCTGCCCACAGCGGAGGCAGAAGATGAGCTGGGAGACCTACTGGGCCAGCAACGATCCCTTGCGGGATGTGGACGAGGTGGCCGTGCCTGTCCTGTGCCTCTGCAGCGCCGATGACCCCGTCCGGGGGGCTCCCGAGGACACGATCCCGTGGGAGCTCTTCCAAAGCAACCCTTTCTTCTTCCTGCTTCTGAGTCCGCACGGAGGACACTGCGGATTCCTCGGGAAAGATCCCAAAGGCTCCTGGGGCAATGCAGTGGTGCTGGAGTACCTGCAGACCTTGGCGGAGTTTCTCCGAGGGGAAGAGAGGGTGAAGGACAAGCCCCGCCGAAGGACCGCCACTGCCCAGCATCGCTGCGGCCGGCGGCGCGGCCCTCTGCGGAACAGGGGGGCCGCCCTGCCTGGCCTCGACCTTTTCAGCTGGCAAAGGTCGTACACACGGTGACAGAGCAACAGGCTGCGCATGACTCCTGGAGCAACCAGGAATCCTCAAGGGCAAATGAGCTGGGTATTTTAAGGGATGCAAGGGTCTCTGTCCTTGCGGAAAGGGAGCGACAGAATATTTGGCCCCCATCGTTCTTGCCTGTGGTGCCCATAATGGCAGCTGAATTTCACTGCAATTCTTTCCCCCCGCATCAAATTTTTTTATTGATTTTCACAGAATTATAAACACACTAACAAACTAACAAACATAAATCATAACCTTATTAAAGCTAATCTTGTTAACATTGTTCAGTGATTTCCTTGTATCCCCCTAGTTGAATTTCAAATGCCTATCATTTTAACGGTTCTCCAAATCAAAATTCTTATAAACTTAATCACTTAACATCATTTTATCTTCCCAATTCAGCATCAAACATGATAATTCATCACATTACTTCTTTAAATCCCAAGCCTAACTGGTAATTGCAAGCTTTTCCAATTAATTTAACGTATTTAACTAAATAATCATTAAATTTCGTCCATTCTTCCTTTCTCTGCAGTTCTTGCATTGAACAAGGTGGGGCTAGGTGACCCTCTGACTCCCTTTCCAACGCTGCCATTCTTTGAATTAAATGGGCAGCTCCTGTCATCTCAAAACCTCCAGGCTTCTGAATGGGATCCAACCTACCTTGTTGCAGATTCGAACAAATTATTAGCGGCGGCTGTGATTAGGTTTCCCCCTCTGGCTGCTTAACATGGAAGGAAACCTTCCCCTGAGTAAAGCTGTCATGTCCAGCTACGATTCTTGTACATTGCTTTTTTAAATCTGGTTCCTGGTTTTTAAAACTCTTCACTCCCACATTTTAAGGTATCCTGCTGTATATCTTAGCTAAGGTATTCCTTGTGCAGTGTTTTACATCATTTCTGTCTTACGACCCGCTTGTACGTTAGGATACTTGGCTGCCAGTGTGCTTGATCTTGTTTTGCTCGGGTCCAGGACGGCATCATAATAAAGAATCTGTTATCTGTCGTTGGGAAATTCTGGATTACTCTGACCTGCTCTTGTGATTCTGGAACAGCCTTCCACGGGGCTGCAGTGGGCAGGTGGGGGTTGCCATTTCAACTTGCCACAATGCCCCCAGCCCAGGGATTGCATGAAAACAGTGGTCGTCCTTTATCTTGCCACCTAGGGTTCAAATTCTTATTGATGTTCTTCTTAGCTGCTTTGAATGTAAAGCGCTTCGGGTCCCTCTTGTGAGAGTAAGTAAGAGCAGGGGTAGGGAGCCTGTGTCCCGGGGGCCAAGTTTGGCTTGTGAGCTTATCTGGCCCTTGGGATTCTCCCCAGCCCTGCAGTGCACCCTTGTTGAGCTTATTGCCTGGTTAGAAATGTTGCCTTCAACTCTTGTTTACCTGGAGGATGAAGAGGGATGTGTAATATAATAATAATAATTTATTATTTATACCCCGCCCATCTGGCTGGGCTTCCCCAGCCACTCTGGGCGGCTTCCAACACAATATTAAAATACAGTAATGCATCAAACATTAAAAGCTTCCCTAAACAGGGCTGCCTTCAGATGTCGTCTAAAAGTCTGGTAGTTGTTCTCTTTGACATCTGGTGGGAGGGCGTTCCACAGGGCGGGCGCCACTACCCAGAAGGCCCTCTGCCTGGTTCCCTGTGACTTGGCTTCTCTCAGTGAGGGAACCGCCAGAAGACCCTCGGAGCTGGACCTCAGTGTCCGGGTAGAATGATGGGGATGGAGACACAGAAACACCATGTGCAGAAACACCAACCTACTGTGCAAAGGTAAAAATTTGCATTCATTGCCCCGCCCACTTTTACCTCTGGCTCCGCCCACCACTCTCATGTGAGCCCCCCCACCTCCCCAAAAAGGAGATTTGGCCTGTATGGGCTGTAAAAGATTCCCCACCCGTTTTAAGAGGGCGGGCAGGCAGAGATGGGCATTGCAGCAGCTGACCAGAGGACTGTGATGCCTGCATTGCATTACTGACCTCTGTTAACAAACGAAGCAGAGACGCCATCTACTAAAATTACTTTATTACAGCTCCTTTTTTTAAAACATTTCCTTTGCTATGATACAAAGGATACTTACAAACAAAATATTACATATCACCTCTTTTTGTTCTCTTGATTTCCCTCCCCCTCCCCCAACTGCCCCCGAAACAACTGGGTTGGTAACAGCTGTAAATGCACAATCTATACAATTAATACAGGTTATATGAGCTATCGTGTACGCCTGAACCAGAAGAAAAGACCGGAATACTGACGAGAAGTATTGTACAAGAGAGAGCGAGGAGAGAGGCTTGCTTTGCCCGCCGGCGAAAATGCACACCTCTAGCTGGGTCTCAAAGGTCGGTGCCCGGCAAAGCCTCCGCCTTAAGCGGCTGGGGGACAACCTGGTCCTTGTTTAGACTTGCGTGCAACTGGCTTGCTACGGATAAAGCTTTTTAAAAAACAAAATCCCCCAAACCAAAATAATGAAGCTGTGCAGCTTTCAACTCAGCTGTCCTGCCCAATGAATTCACCTTGATCTTTTGTGAAACCACGGCAATATGGAGGAGGTTTGGTCAAAGGATGAGCTCAGGCTGACCCTGTTTAAAAACGGTTCCTCTGGATCTTCTCTGCACCCAAAAAGACAGGGTGCTCTGGAGAGGGATTCCCCAAAGGGATTGCTTTTAAGGAATCTGGGTGGAAGGTGTGGACTCATATGTTAAAAAATAAAAACCTACTGTGGGCTTGGGCGCCATCTTTTGCCAACCGGGTTCTTTTCCAGATTTATTTTTGCGCTACAATTCCCATCAACCCCTGGCAGGTTGATAGCCCTCATCAGCCCCACTTCGCATTGCAGGGGGTTAGACTAGATGATTCTTGGGGTCCCTTCCAACTCTGCAATTCTAAGATTGCTTTCAATGCTCAAAAGCCAGAATGTCCCCTGCAGATCTCCTCCCCCCGTACCCATCAGTTCTCTCTCAAAACAGAGGGATCCTTTTAACATTTTGCTGCCTAACCCACTCTACCAACCCAAAGTGATCCACAACTACAAGTGGGTATCTTCTTTTCAAATTGCAAATCTGCTACCCGGGCTTGCTGGGTTCCTTCTTCCTTTCAACTGATGGTCTATTTAGGGGGGTAGGAGAGCCAGTGGTCAGAGATAATGACCAGATAGCTTGCAGAGTAAGCTTCAAACTGGGAATGGTGAAATAAAAACAAGACAGGAGGATTTCGTTGAAAAATATTGAAAATGTCATAATTGTAATGTACAAAATGGGATTTTATTTAAATAGGGAGGGGGTTAGGCAGGGACAGGGAGACCCTAACTTCAGACCCAGACTAAAAAGCCATGAACGCAAGAAGAGGAAGGAAATTAATTATACAAATTAATAAATAGAACACCCCACTGGCAGAATAAGCCATGCTTACGGCTTACAAGTCAGGAGAGGAGGAAGAGGAAGATTATACATTCAAGATGCTTTTTTTGAACCCCAAGTGGGATAAAACGTACATCAAAGTTGTGTTAATAGTTCATTAGAAATCAAGTCTCGATTTTGTTTTAAAATAATCTCCACGATACAAGCAAGCTTTCAGGTTGGTGTAAATGTCAAATGTACACTATTCACAACTCACACTCTCGCCTCGGAGGCCTTAAGATGACGACGGGCAGAGTTGCCCACCTGTCCGATTAATGCAGAGAGGAGCCGGGCGGTTGAAACCACACTTGACGCAAAGTCATTTCCTCCTTGGCACTAATCTCCCATCAGAAGTGATGGCTGGTGCCCATTGAGACTGGTAGGGCGGAAGGCAGGGAGCCCAACAGCAGGGGGTGCTAGAGCAAAGACAGGCAGGGCCAACTAGTTCTGTCCCCCTCCTCCCCGCCGCTGAATTTGACAAGGGGGAAACTGAGCCTGAGGAAGAGGAGGAGGAAGCCAATGGGCCAGTTTTATGGAAGAAGTCAGGAAGGAGCAATAGATGTGTCCATTATTTTAAGAACAGAAACCTTTTAGCGTTTTTACACCCATTTCAAGTGAATGTAGCTTCTTTGTGTGTGGAGGTACATACTGGAGCGTTAAAAAAACCACCACCACCACACCGTCTGCATCAAGCCTACTCTCTAAGCTGGAAAAACGAAGGGGCACACATTTTGGTAGCGATACCAAATCGCATTTGCTAGATACCAAAGTCACTGCTTTCTCAAGGCCTGTGGGTCAGCTCAGCCCCACGCACCAACACAGAGCCAGTTGTATCCAGGGAACAGTTCTCTCCCCTGCCCAACACACAGAGCCTACATTCCCCCAAAGAATTCGGGGAACTTTAGTTTACCCTGCCCAGAGCTAGTTCCCAGTACCCTTCCAAAACTACAGTTCCCAAGATTCTTTGGGGGAGCGACGTGCTTTCAATGGACTGTGCGTATGCAGGAGCACAGCTTCTGCCATAACACAGTCACATCTTTACAGGTGATATGCTCAATTCCCCATCGTTCCTGCAAAAATCAGGATCCCACAATCTCTATCAGAGGGTCCAGCTGGCCACATTATTTTCTTTCTCTGAGTCAGTGTCAAATCCCAGGTGCCAAGAGAACTCACGTTTTTACTCTCAAGCAAATCTGACAGGCAGAGGCCAACAGGCCTCAGCACCACATTCATTCACAGGAAAGTTGAGGGTAAGAGCCCCTCGCATCTCCTCACACAAACAGAGAATGTTTGGAAGGAGGGGAAGGTCAACTTGCAGACAGGTCAAGAGTCTACCTATCGCTGCCTTTAAGCCAGGATTCTCCCCCGTTTTATTTAAAAACCAAAAGCAAAAAAAGCTCCCTTCTGCCGCAAATCAGTGTTTGGAAGTTTCAGTTCATTCGCTTTAGTCTTTTCGGCCTTTCTGCTGAGCCAGCAGTTGCCATAGAAATCTGCCATTCTGGGCTTAAACAACAAGAAAATGGGGCTTCATCCAATCTACTGCTTTCCCTAAAGCGCTGTGTTTTAGGACTTTGTCCTCTCAAATCCAAGGGCAAGTGTCTCCCACACCTTGTAAAAAAATCAAAATAAAAATGGCACAGCTAAAAGGATATTTGTTTAAAAAAGGCATACAATAAAGAATCCAGCCAGCCCAAACTTTGGGAATCAGACACAAAGGGTTGTATCCAATGTTAGCCCTACTCAAGAGTTGCCCCACTGAAATCAATTAACAGGAACAAGTTTGGTCCATCAATTTCAACTGAGTAGTCTTGAGTAAACTCAGCTGGATACAACCCTAAACTTCCTCAAGCCCACATAATGTTAAGTTTGGATCCAGTCGCCTTATGAAATCTATTGAAAGCAGTGTTTCCCAAACTTGTAGTCTAAAAAACAGCTGGAGACTCAACTCCTATCATCCCTAGCTAGCAGGACCAGCGGTCAGGGATGAGGTGAATCATAGTCCAAAAACAGCTGAAGGTCCAAGTTTGGGAAAAACCAATTTAAACATTTTGTACCGAAAAAAAAAAAGACGGAAGGAGGGGAGAGGAAAATTTCTAGAATTCAAAGGTAAGCACATACAGTTTATGCTCCCCTCACTCAGGTCAATTCGCTGTGATTGTTCTTTACAGGTAAGCGAACACATTTCCTTTCCCACTAAATGAGTTGCCAGGGATACTAAGCACCAGAGGGCAGGAGGAGGCAGGAGGGGCTAGTGGTGAAGAAAAATCCTCTTTTAATGTTTGCATTGCTTCCTGATGGCAGAAGACCGGTCCTCATTAAGACCAGGCTGCATTTGACTGGGGGGAAAGAGATCAACATGGAAGTTTGGGTTAAACAAGGCTTAAATGTTTAAAAATTGCTTAAAAGAAGTTAAAAATGTGTTAAAACGACTAGGTTTTGGCTACAGAAGGATGGTCCACGTATTCCACCCCATCCTCCACTAGGAACCTAGCCTGGAGTGGCAGCGACGGTTAGGGAAGGGACTGATTGCTAAGAGGCACTCAAGCTTGCAGATCAAACACCTCGCTTGTTCATGCAAGCCTCATTTGCTGACACGGCCCTTTCACCCTCTGGGAACAGGTGTTTACCTAAGATTTTGGGAGAGGGCTCCCAACAATAGCTAGGAGGGCTTTTCCTGAAAGGGGCAGATGTTCCATTTGTTACACAACCGGAATCGGAAAGCAGAAAATGATCCTTGCTTGGCGAGAGTAAGCCAGACTCAAACACCGTGAGGCAGTCAAGCTTAGAAGGAACATTGATTGGGAAGAATCAACAGCAATCCTAGCTCAGAGATTCCTGCCGATATGTCCTCCCTGAGCTACGATGAAGTCTCCTCCAAGGACCTGAAGGATGTTTTAAGAAGACTAGGGCCAGGTCTTCTTGAAGGGAAGCCCTTGGGTTGTGGGGTTTGAAGGGCAGGAGGCCACAGCTCAGCTTCCAACCGAGATCAGGTCACCTTCCAGTTTATCTGCTGCATGACTACCGGAAAGGTAGAGAACTCAAAACAGCTACCCTTGCTTTTGTATGTGGGACAATCTACCTCCAGGGTCTTTTTAAGGCAGTGTTTCATTTGTGCCCCATTGCAGGGATGGGAAAGCTGCCCCCCAATGTCGTTGCGACTCCCATCTTCCTTGCCCACAGACCCTTCTGGCTGTTGGGAGTCCAACACCACCAGAACCACCACTGGTCTCTATCCATGCCCTCTCAATACTTCTCTGCTAGAGAGGAATGACCTATCGATTCAGAAGTTAGCATCATCTGGGTACTTGCTAGCTCTTACACACACACAAACTTTGCACTGGCTGCAGAAGTCTAGAAATCAGACAGATGGTCTCTATCCAAACATGATCTAGACCTTGCACGTTCAACCTTTTCAGACCTAAGACCCACATTTAACCCAAACATGCATTTGGGGACCCATTTTTCTCTCTTTTTTACCATATCTTTGGATGGTGGTAGTACTCCTGTTGTGACCCACCTTGGATCAGGCCACAACCCAGTAGTGGCTCCTAACCCACCAGTCGGAAGACCAGCGATCTAGACCTCTTCATTCTCTCCTTCAGACACATTGACTTACAAGAATCCAAACCAGCCAGTTTCCAGAAAAGCTAAGTGGACACTCTCTTGGTGATCTATAAGGTGAGACGGGGGTCTTTCCCCCTCACCCACCAAATCAACCTCGTGCAGACTGAAGGATGCCCCTCAAACCCTGGTTCATGACAGCGGGCAGCAGCACCTCGAAAACAACTCCTTTTAATGTCTCAGTGCCAAAGAGGAGAGTTCATTGCTCTATACAGAACATGTAACTACAGAATTGAGCGCCGGTGTTTATAAAATGGGATGTGCTTGTGAGCATTTTACTATAAAACGCAGCCCCAAGAGACGTCTGTGCATTTTAGAAGGTGAGGGGCTGTGATCCACGGAGGCGGCATTGCCCTTCCTAGCACAGGATGAAGGCTGTTAGGATCAGAGGGCCTGCGGTTGCGCAGCTAATGTGAAAAGAGGGAAGAAAATAGAAATAAATCAGCCACATGAAACACGCACCTAGAGGTGTCATTCTGAGTCTGCTTTCAACCTCCTGGGAAGGAACCATCTCTTTAAGACCCTTGTGTTAAAAAAGAAATTTACAAGACCTGCAGGCTTTGGGGGGCGAGCTTGTGGCTTTTTTAAACAGATGTTACAAGATGCCAGGCTGCTCTGGCTCTGCCACCCTCAAAACAGGAAGCTAGGAAGTTGGAGAGGAGCACAGTGGAGGGCTGGACTAGATGACTCGCTGGGTCCCCTTCCAACTCTGCTATGGTTTGGATTTTATTTTCTTGAAACATGTATAGAGACCAGGGAGGAGAGAAGCTGCTTCAAAGCTCCAAAGAGAAGGTAGGCTCCCACCAGAAATTGCTCCTACAGCTCCTGTTGCTCAAGGCAGTTGCAGTTTGGACTTGTTCCTTTACAACAGTCTTTTTGCTCACCTGGTGCCCTCCAGGTGTTCCAAACTACAACTCCCACCAGCCCTGCCCAAAGCTCTTGAAGGGTGCCAGGCGGCCTCAAGGCTGCTTTGCAGATTCCACTGCTGATGTCAGGACCTTGTGGAGAAGGCTGAGTAAGGCCACCAGGAAAAAGATGAAGAGACCAGAAGTCAGGGGTGGGGAGCCTGTTGTCCCTCTCAGACGTTACTCATCAGCCAGCAGGGCTAATGGACAGGGACCGTGGCAAGAGCTGTAGTCCATAAAAGTCTAGAGGGCCACAGATTCTTCAGCTAAAAATAAATAAATGGGAGGGAGGGGAACACCAGAAGGCAGCTTCTAGGGATAAATATGAAATGAACGAACGCTGCTAACAAGCTTTTTTTGGAGAGGGGAGGGATGCAAGTAGACCACACAGCACTCTTCCAAGTTGTTGGACTACAACTCCCATCATCCCTGATCATCTGGGGACCCAAGGCTGAAGAACACTGCTGGAAGGTTGAGGGATTCTCAAACATCTATCCGGTTTGTGAATCATTTCAGAGTGCAGGTGCACCTCAGGGGAAAAAAGCACAAATTTAAAATCTGGCTTTCTTATTGACCCATCACAGAAAACTAGAAATAGAATCTGCATCCGGATGGAATTAAAAATGCAATTGGCTTCCCTCGGTGGGGATTTCTGGCTTGCTCAGGCCCTCTCAGCACACACACACACACACCTGCAACTATGCACACACACAAAACATTTAGACCAATGGATCTGATGCAGTTTTTGCAAACTATTTTAATTAAAATATTAATTCCTTGAATAAGTCCAGGGTCTGGCACGTGATGAGCTATACATTGGGGGGGGGGGGAGGAAGAGAAAAACGACCTGGTTACAAGACCACAATTCTCTCTCTTTTTTTTTTTGTTAAGCGCTAATATTGAAATGGGGCAGCATGGAAGGGGAGGGGGTGAAGGAGGCAGCAGTCAGGCCTTGTTTTGCATCACACAAACAAGATTATTTTAGGAAAGAACACTCCCACCCCCTCCCAATGTGGAGCCTGCCCAAAATTTCATCATCAATGCAAGCAAAAAATGCATGAATGAAGCGACAGGGAGGGGTTCTCAAGTACCGCTCATAATTCAGCCCCCACCAAATCGGGGCTCTCCAGCGGCTTCGGACTACAACTCCCATCAGCTGATGGGAGTTGTAGTCCGAAGCAGGCAGAGGGTCCCAGCTTGGCCAAGGCTGGCTCATATCACTGCTCCTTGGTCTGTGCATTTGTGGACATGCTTGGGAACGAGGCGCTCCCCTCTTTGCCCCCACCCAGAGAAAAACATTCAATATTAGCACCATGTTACTGATGTGGTACTGCCTAGAAACGGAGACCCATTCCAGGGGTCCAGGGTAGAAGGGCCTTTTGTAGTTAAATGACAATGTTCTTCTCTCTCTCCCCTTCCCCCTTTTAAAAATAAGTTAACTGGTTCAAATTTCATGTCAAATGGGAAGAGAAGAAGCATGGGAGTTCTGCTCTCCGTGAAGTTAGTTTTGCTAGGAAGGATCTGAGCACTACCGAGATCTTTTTCACGCGAGATACACAGAACACATGGGCAAAAAGGGGTTTGCCCACTGCGACCCTTTCAAGAGAGTCACTAATATGCTAGGACAATGGTGCCCAAGTCAAGATTCTCCCCACCCATTTCCACCCCCCTGGAAGGGGCTGATTTGGCTTAGTGGCCTCCTGCTTGTTCCCAGTGCTATGATCAACCAAAGATCTGGAGGGAGGGAGGGAGATAGATTAAGGATCTGGAGTGGTTGTTTTTTAATTTAGCTAAGATTTTTTTTTTTTTAAAAAAGAAGTCACACTGATAAAAAAAAAAGAACTGAGCTGCAGTGTGAAAGACATTAGAGTATTTTTCTATACAAAGATGTCGCGTTGGACACCAAACACATTCGGAAGAAACCTTGCAATTCTGAGCCCTATAAGATGTGTTAAAAGGCAAAATAAAAAATTCTAGAGTTAGTTAGCTAGTGTTTCATTTGCTTAAATGTGCAAGGGAATTTTTAATTTTTTTTTTTACAACGAACAGCCAAGGGAAGCAGCTCCTGTAGTGAGGAGAATCTCTTTCTTTTCATTTTCTCGTAACCTTGGGCCAAGCTGCTCTCTGCTTAGCCCCTGGCTTGACGCGAGTCACAGTACCTCTTTTGCTGCCTTGGCAACTGAGGTCCCAAAGATCCTGAGCGCAAAAGGAGAGGGGCGTGTCTAGCTCTCCCAAAAACCTTCTTCTCCAGCCGCCAGCCCCAGAAATCTACATGTGTGTGTGAGCATGCACAGTGGCTTTTGGAAGCAGAGCCTCTGGGCAAAAGGTCACCAAAAGCAGTCGCAAATGGCTTTAAAAACGGTGCGGGGGGTGTCCCCCACCTCTCGGGAACTCATGCGAAGGACGGGTCGCATGTAGCGTAAAACGTCAATGGAGGCAGCTTAACAGGCTGGTCAGCAGCAGGGCAAGAGAGGCGAAAACACCCCCCCCATGGCAACTAAAACACACTCGGAAACACGTTGGCTACAGCTTTACATGTAAACGAGGAAAAAACTGTGGCAAGCCCAAGGTTAGCCCCCCCCCAAAAAAAAATCTGGCAAAAAATAAAATAAAATATGTAGTGTCAGAAAGGAGAGAGATCTCCTTGCCTGCCCTAAATGGCATGTCTGAAACTTATGGCATCAATCACAATACCTCTGGAAATTTGGACTGGCTGGCTGAAAGTCTTTTTTTTTAATATATAGAAGTTTCTGAAGAGCAGAGCAGGCAGGCAGGGGAGTGGGGTACGATCCCGGGCGCCTCTCGAATTGTTCTGATGCTTGACTAACGTGAGATGTCACAGTATTAAGCTAGAAAACAGCAGACCCTCCCTGGCCTTGCCTCTTCCCCCTCTAGCAACCACACAACCATACACACACGCGCACACACACACACACACACACACACACAACACAGCCTGTTGGGCTGAACTGCAAACAGGTTTCTAGCAGGTGCATTTGACTAGTGCAGTTCTGTCCAAGCGATCAGGTGTGCTCCAAGTGAGCGGCTTCACCTTAGTGCAACGGGGAGACAGCATGCGCCAGCAGGGGGGTGGGGTGTCCAGAGCTGTCTGCTTGCCCCCTTTCTCCCCCCCCCCAGCTTCTATCAGCAGGCGCGGTTCTCCTCGCCCTCCTGGACCTCCTCTCTTTAGTGGCACACCTCCCCCCCGAGTCCCTTTGTAGCAAGAGACTGGCCCCCAATGAAGCAGGGAGAGGTGAGGGGCATTTAAATACAGAGAGAGCAAAGCAAGAACCCACAGGGTTTGCCCTCCCAATGTGCCTAATTCACCAGGAGCTTGGGCTAGGGAAGACCCTCCCTTCCTTCCTTCCTTCCGTTAAGAGAGAATGGCCTCCCCTGACCCCTTGCCACTGAAAAAGCAGCACCTCTCTCCCAGACTCCAAACCGCTTTCTTTAAAATAATCTTTCCTTTTTCTTAAAGAAGCTAAGAGAGACTCTGCAGCCAAATACTATGACATCCCAATTAGTAAACCCAAAACATTAAATGCTGCCCGAAATGAACACGCTCGCCAGTAGGCACCCGGAGTCCGTGCTGCCCGGGTCTGGGCTCCCGGGGAGGGGGGTGGGGTTGCCCCTTGGCAGCTTCTGTTGGCAGACAGCTCCAGTGGACTTGCCACCCTCAGGGACAGACCTCTCGAAGCTATTATGTATAAGACATGTGTGACCCATTGGATATTTGCGACGTGACGCTCGTGCTCCTGCTCATGCCTGGCTCCGTCCGTCCCCCGGAGGACGTCCGCCTCAGAGCCTGGGGGCTGTTGCGGACCCCCAGCGAGCTCCCCCGGGGGACTCCCTGCATGGGCCCAGAGGGGTGACCCCAGGGCTGGGGGCCGCCCTGCATTGGGTGGCCCCACGCCTGCGGCGGACCACCCATGGGGTGACCCCAGTGGGGCCCTGCGCCCCCAGAAGGGTTGTGGGACCAGCTGGAAGCTCCCGGGTAGCTGTGGCTGAACGCCTCTGGGGAGAGGTTCGAGAGGACCATGTTGCTGAAGCCCAGCCGCATGCTCTCCGAGTCAAACGCCTCAATCTCCCGGGCCTGGCGCTCCAGCAGGCTTCGGATCCGCTCCGTGCGCTCGTTCTGCAAGGCCAGCATCTCCTCCTCGATCTGGGCAGGACAGAATTGGGTGGGGGTGGGAAAAGATGGGGGGGCAGGGTTAGAGCGGAACAGCAAATACTGAGCAGGTGCCCCGCAGCGACTTTTAGAAGGCGGTGAAGAAAGCGGTGCTGATGCAACCCTCGTGCTGATGCAAAACAGGTGCTGCCGTTCCCCAGCACCACAAACCGCAATCCTAACAAACACTGCGACCGGTTGGCCTCGGCCTGCGAGAACTGGCGCTTCACCTGCCCTCATCAATCATGGCACACGTTAGTTATTAACAGACTCCGGCAATGGATTAGGGTGTGGCTGCTTCCACCCCACAATAGGCAAAGACGTTGGGCAATCAAGAACCTGCCGCCTGGTGAACAGGATTTAGGTTAAGCCACAAAACAAGCCATGAGGGGAGAGCTCACCAGTTTTCAGCCTAGGTTTTCTGCCCAACATCCACACAATCCGGACAAATTAGGGTGTCCTGCGTGAAGACCCCTGCTCACTCCCCGGGGCTGTCTTGGGGGTGACTCACTGTGGAGGAGCAAGTAAGAGCCCTCACATCTCTGAGGGCACAGAGTCTTGTTGGCGGGGGGTGGGAGGCAAGCGGCCTTCCTCGCCATTGCAGTGGGTTGGACTAGTGGTCCCTTCCAACTCTTCTATGACTCTATACAGACATGACCAAAAGGCCTTGACTGCATTGGAAAATGATGCAATCTCTGCTCAGTCATTTAGCTCACTAGGTGATTGTGGGCCAGTGACTACCTCTCAGCCTAACCTACCTTGCAGGGTTGTAGTGGGGATTAAAGGAGGAGGAGGAGGAGAATCATGCAGGCCACACCTTGAGCTCCTTGGGGGGAAAGGTGGGATATAAATGAAATAATATAAAATAAGCATGCACCTCAATGAACAAATAAATCACCACTTCACCCTGAAGCCGCTTGAGTTAAAGGGGTCAAAAGTTGTGAAGTCAAGAGTCAAGTCACAGGACAGCCACACTCTTAATCCAAATAGGATTCTTTCCAAAAACTGGAGTGGTCTCTGGACCCTGAGAGGGACAGTTTCTCCAGAGACATGGCCTAATTTCAGGTTTTGTAATGGAAGGGAACCACAGAGCTCCTTTTATATGCAGAAAGGCAGCTGGTTTTCATTGTAATGCATTCTGTCTCTGATTGTATCACGATTTTCAGGAATTTCATTCACACCTACGAGATCTGGACAGAGTTTACAGAGACACACACCTATAGCTACACTGGAGGGGGCCAGCAGGTGGCAGCAGAGGCTGCCTGGTTCCGTAAAACAGGGGATGGGGGAACCTCTGGCCCTGCAGATGTTGTTGGACTGCAACTGCCATCAGTCCTGTCTGGCCCTTGGCTGTCCTTCCTGGGGCTGGTGAGAGCTGTGGTTCAAGAACATCTGCAGAGCCAAAAGCTTCCCTGTACCTGCACTAAAAGACAGTGACTTTTGCGCAAAAACGTGGAGGGCTGCTTCCAAGAGTGGGCAAGTGGGGTACTCAGAGAGGATCCATAATCCGTTCTCTCCACCACTTGCCTCCTGCAATGCATCCACCACTCACTCACAAACACACAAAACAAGCTAGTAACTCTGCACAGGGAGAAAGACTGGAACAGCGTAAAGCTGAAACCTAACCTCAAGTTGCACTGCCACCAAATTCCCTATGCTGACCTTAAACTCCAAGATATGGCAGCAGAGTAAAGTTTGCAGCACTGTAGCTTCAGCCACATTAGCTACGACACCATTGTTAATGACAGGTGGGTGAAGGGAGAAAAGGGGTAGAGACGGAGGCATGGAGGTTAAATCCCACCTCCCGTGCAGCCATTAGCCCTCAACAGCATGGGGCATGTGTGGGTGTTGTCAGTGACAGAGACTGCCGTGGGGCGACTGGGTCACCAATGACACTGTAGGCGTAGGGACACTGCCATTCCTACAACGCCTCTTTTTCTAACAATATTATTGTGCCTTTGGTGCGGCAGGTGAAGTGCAGGATGCTGCACAGCAGAAGGACCGTGGCGGGGTGGAGGTTTGAGTCCTGCACTAGGACATGGGAGAGACCAGGTTTCAAATGCGGACAGACCTTGGGGGCTGGTCACTATCTCTCGGCCTAACCTACCTCAATGCCTGTGAGCTCCTTTGAGAAAATCTGGCAAATAAATATTATTTTTACTTTTACTACCATCGCCAACTTAGCTGGGCCACAGGACTGGGGTGCCCATGGCCACTTCCTTGTACCCCACAGATCTGCTGTCTATTGCCTGCTTCAAACACAGCACAAAGCCATGGCCTGCTTAACAAACCATGAGTTAACCACAAGCTGTCCCAGAGTTTAGTGTTACGTGTGAACTTGACCCCAATACCTTGGATGGCTTCTTCCGCATGTCAAGCAAATGACAGAATTCTGAAGAAATCCGTGTGGAAAAAATACTGTGTGTGTGTTTGTGCCCTTGTCCTACTTTAATGCGCCAACGTCCAGGCTGCCTGCCCATGTCATACCTTCTGCTCAAGGAGGGCCCTGCGCAGAGACACCCGCTGCTCCAGCTCGTGCAGCTCCCGGTCGTGCTGAGCCTCTGCCTGCATCTTGATCTTGCTCTGATAGGCATTGAGCAGCTCCAGTTCCTGCTGCAGCTGCATCTTCAAGACCTGGCACTCTGCTTCCTGCGCCTCGTCCAATCGCAGCTGCAAGACAAAAGCAAACAAACTGAGCTGTGGAAGAGGGCTCCTGGAGGGAGAGGGAAGCTGGTTGTGAGGCTTGCTAAGAAGGGAAGAGGGAGGTGGAAAGGGCTCCTCACTCTGGTGTTCAAAAGCCTGCAATGACTGCCCAGGTGTTCCCAGGCCAGCTTCAAGATTCCTGCATTAATGTACAAGGCCCTGAACAACTTAGGTCCAGGATACATTAGTATAAGGATAGAATTCCTTCTATCGCTGCCTGGTGGTCACAGAGATCTTCAGAGGAGTCTGTTAGCAGTTCTTCATGACTCAGATGCAAGGCTTCTATCCGCCAGAAGGCGTGCATTCATTATTATGGGCTGGATTCTATGGAACTCCCTCCCAGCTGAGATTAGACAGTCGTCCCCTCCCCTCCCCAGTGAAACTTCAGGTACCTGACAAAGACTTTTCTGTTTCAGCAGCTACTGAAAGGAAGTACTCCATATTTAGGATGAATGTTAATTGACCTTGATGACCTACTGCTTCTTAATTTTTATGCAAACCACTTAAATGAATGAATGCTTCTATTTCATAAAATCTATACACTGCTTCATTGTAAAAAGAAAGAGAAAAACCCTCAAAATGGCGTACAAAAAAGAACGGCTTAATTCTGCAATTAAGAGGTCTATAAATAGCTTAAATAAATAAAATATTTCCCAGGGAACCCAGAGAGGCAGCCCCTGGCTGTGGCCAAGGCTCAGCAACGCTCCACCAACACCATGTCTGGTCAGCCTGGATACCTCAGTTGGATACATGAGGTGCTGATCATGCCAAGGTTGCAGGTTCGATCCTTGTAAGGGACAGCTGCATATTCCTGCATTGCAGGGAGTTGGACTAGATGATCCTCAGGGTCCCTTTTCTACTCTACTATTTCATGATTCTATGTCAGTTATGGGACTGAACAGTCCCCCACCCCCACCCCCCGCACCGCTGCCAGGAAGGAGAGGGCTCCATGGGGGAACTCACAGCTTGCGTGGAGAGCATCTCGTTTATGCTGTGGTCATACTGCTCTGCAAGGATGGCCAGCTTTCGGGTCTGCTCCTCCTTGAGCCTCTTCAAGACAGCCTTGTGCTCACTCTTGGGGGTGGTCTCCAGCAGGTGGTTCCGCAGGGCCTTGTACTGCCGGGTCTGGATCTTGCACGTATCCTGGAACTGCTTCTTGATCTGGAGCTCTTTAGACTGGAGGGGAGGAGAACAACGGTTCTGCGTCAACCTTCTTAGAGGACAGGCCTGCCATGTCAAGGGGTTTCTAACGGGCTTTGAGCTGCAGAGCCATCTCCAGCCTGGAAGCCCCAACAGCACCACTAACGGCACAACCCCCTCCACGAAAGGCCTGCTGGTGGTTTTTCCACACCCTGGGGCAAGAACACTGAGCATGCTCTGAGAAGTGCCCCACTTGAAACAGACTCTTGAGGACAAACCCAAACTCAGACACTGCTTTACTGGGAAAGCTATGCCAGACTTCCCTGGAGAAGAAGCGACCTGCTGCCTTACACACTCACACAGTATATTGAGTCAGTTAAGGGTAGTTTAGACCTTACTGCAGCCTTACCATAGATAAGAGGGGGAGATGTGGAATAGAACGTAAACGAGTATTGGCAAGAGTGATGCACACAGAAACAGGATGAGCTGTTTAATTCTGAGTCAGACCACTGGGTCCATCTGGCTCAGTACTGTCGACACTGACTGGCAGAAGCCCTCCAGGGTCCCAGACAGGGGGTGCTTTCTCCCAACCACACCTGCAGACACGGTCAGTGACTGAACCTGGGACCTTCTGTATACAAAGTAGGTGCTCTGCCAGTGAGCTATGGCCCACTTAAAACATTCAACCGTGGTCACACAAAACACCATGAAAGGGAGGCCCAGCCTGCCAGCCCTCAGCTGCCACAAAATAGTTTCTGGCCTGAAGAGCCTGTCACCCTGTTGGTAGCAGCACATATATTTTTCAGGGCTTGGGGGACAGAGAGGAAGCTGGGTCAGATTTCCAGAGGCCAAAGGGGAAGGCAGGCAACAGAGCCCTGCAGAGAGCTGCCTGCCCTCCTCACTGCCCAACACCATCTAGATAAGACGGGATTATGTAAATAGGAGGAAATTTGAAATGTGCTCAACTTGCATAATTTATACAGGTCACCGAGCTGGGCTTTCCTTGGCACAGGATCTGGGTCACCAAGGTGCAGAGAGCCGCTTCTGGTCAGTTGCCCAAGCCAGAGATGCATGGCCCATGTGCTTCACCCACTTTCCTGTTCCTGAGACAGCAAAGTCAGCAAGAGGGCTGGAGCCTTGGGCCTCCTTTGGGTGGGCAATGCAACTCTTCCTTCCCTTGGCACTCCTGGCTGAACAATCGGCTTGAGGCTTCCTCACTCATCTATCTTCTGGGGTAGGCAAAGTGCCAGGGTTCTGCCTCAGCCGGGAAAGGAGGAGCTGGGGGAAGGGCTGCAGCCCAGTGGTAGAGCATCAGCTTCACTCCTTGACAGCATCTTCAGGCTGGGCTAGGGAAGATTCCTTGCCTGAAACCTTGGAAAGCCACTGTACACAGTACTGAGATAGATGGGCCAATGAGCTGGGCTCGCTGTAAGGCAGCTTCTTGTGCATAGGACATGAGCCCCAGAAGGCAGCCTGGGATCACACAGCCCCAGAGGTTTCTAAACCCAAGAGGCAGGGGGAGATGACACCAGAAGGCAGCAAGTAAGGGGCTGCTGGAACAGCCCTTCAGCCTGCAGACTAAATGCTTGAGGAAACAAACATGTCTTCCCAGGGGCTCAATATGGGCCGAATGCAACAAGTCCTGGGCAGTGCCTCCCTGCAACACACAATGGGGCCTGTGGGCAGAGGGCTGCCCACCTCCACCCCCTGAACCAGCTCACCTTGAGGCTCTTGGGCTGCTGCCGCACCTCCATGACATGCTTGCGCCGCAGCTCCCTCTCCCGCCGCTTGTTATACTCCAGCTGGTTGGTGAGCTCTGTCTGGTGCTGGAGCCGGATGAGCTCGCAGCGCATCTTCTGGATGGTGTTGAGGTGCCGGAACTCCAGCTCCTGCATGGACTCGTGCTGGCGCAGCAGCATGGCATGCTCCAGGTCCTTCTGCGTCTGGCGCTTGTTCAGCTCCTGAGACACAAGGAGAAGGGGAATCATTCGGGGGAAGCGAGGAGAGGGGACATCAGGACCAGGCAAGCATTTTCCTGGCTGGGTCAGAGAGCCCGAGGCAAAAGGGTACTGCCAGGGGAGGGCAGGAAGGGGGCAGCTGTCCCCTCGCGGCCAGAGATAGATGGCCTCTGCACACGGGTATTCCATTATACTACTGCAGCTAAGAGCTGCCAACAGACTCACTCCCATGAATGCCCAATCACCCTTTCGGGGGAAAAAGGTATCTGAGCTACAAACCACCACCCCTATCTATTGTTCTTCATCTTGTTTTTAAAGTACCTTATCCCATTTTATCTCACTTCACACTGCATCAATGGCTGTTGGCTATGAAGAGCTTTATAAATCTGAACAATTATGACTTGTGATCTGAGAAGGTACTTCTGAAATGTGGCCTGCTTCTGCCCATCCTAAAACGTGGCTGTTTTACTCAACCACCAATCTCGCTGCTCAATCTGTAATGGACATTGCTTGCATTTTTAAGTTTACCTATCCTTTCACAGTTTTCCTCCAACCCTGATCTGCAGTTGGGCTGGTTGTTGCTGTACAGAGCCCTGAACTCTTTGGACAGAGGTCAAGTCAAACCTTCAAGATCACCTTACCCCATATATGCTCCCTCGACCCCTTCGATCAGCAGATCCAGCACTGTTACAGGTGCAACACCCTATCTGCATCCGTAAGGACTTGATATTTTAGTGTGGCAGCACCCACACTTTGGAACTCCCTGACTGTTGTAATCAGGCAGGTGCCTTCATCGTATTTTTTGGCGACTTCTAAAAACATTCTTATTTAGACAAGCCTATCCAGATATCTAGAACGCTGTTGCATGGTTTAATCTGTTTTTAGTTTAATAACTTTTCAAAAAAATAAATTGTTCTTGCTGGCTATGATAATGCTATTGTTTTATCTGTTTAGTAAACTACTCTGTTTTGCTTTGTTTTTTTACAATAGAGCAGTGTATAAAGATGGAGGAATCGGGAAATTTAAAGTCCTTCTTCACACACTGCATAGCTAACTCAGTCCTGCAGGAAGCAGTGATGGCCACCCACTTGGGTGGCTTTAAAAGAGGATTAGACAAATTCATGGAGGAGGAGAGGGCTATTGATGGCTACTAGCCAAGGTGGTTACGCAGAGGCAGCAACGCTTCTGAACACCAGGTGCTTGAAACCACAGGATGGGAGAGCACTCTTGTGCTTGGGTCTTCTTTGCTGGTTTCCCTTTGGGTACCCTATTTGGCCACTGTGAGAAAAGGATGCTGGGCTAGATGGCTCATGGGCCCTCCTACGCACCTCCCGGACAAGGTCCTGCTCCAGGTTGTGGCGCCCCAGCAGCATCCGCCGTTTGAAGCGGCGGCACTCCAGCTCCAAGTACTGCCGCTGCCGCCGGAGCAGGTTGGCCTCCTCCTCCGCCTGGAAGTGCTGGATGTTCTCCTTCTGCTTGGACAGCCACTCCTGCTTCTCCTTCTTGGGAGTGCTCTGGTTCTCGTTCAGCTCCTGGAAGAAAGAAGAGCAGGTGGTCTCCCGTCACAGGGGGCAGGGCTCAATGCAACGTCATGGGAGGGGAGCTGCCTGCTGCCCCACCTGCTGCCCTTGGAAGCCCTAGAAGAATAATCTGCTGCAGGAGGACTGTGAACAACGTGATGGGAGGGGCTGTTTCTAGGACCAAGGTGAAACTGTAAAGCTCCCTTGCTGTTTTTGCTATTGGCTGGTGGATGTTGCTTAAGGAATCTTGTTATATCTAGTACTGAAGGTTTGTTTTTTTGTATGGTATTATATTTGTTATTGTGTTGTTTTGCTATATTATTATGACATTGTTTCTGTTTTGAAATGCACTCCTGTTTTGTCATAAACTGCTCTGTTTGTGGGAAAGCAGCATACAAATGAAATGAATAAGTAAATAAATAAATAAATAAAATGAGTTAGCTTGGCTTGTAGGAAGATGGGAGAAGGAGAGAAGGCTCCTCTCTATCTGCATCCTTTGGTATTGCAGGGAGTGCAGAGATAAAGGCACACACAGTTCAACGGAACAGAGAAGCAGCAAAAAGGGGACATTCTGCCAACGGAGGGTTCCCTGCCATCGTGGACACTCAGGATAAAAACATTTATGGGAACAGAGGAATCATTGCTGGAGGACAGGCCTTCCATTCCACAGGCACAGCTTGTAATAGGCAAATTTCTGCATGAGTAGCTGAGCTAGACCAGGTACAATATTATAGGAATGCCAGCAGTGACACTGTCCCAGAAAAGAGAGGGGTTTTTAAAAAATTGGGTTTTAGGACAATGCAAGAGTCAAACCTCTATAAAACAGGACAAGCACCCTTTTCCATCCTGGCTTTTGACAGTTGAGGTGCATGTTTTTTATTTTTAAGGTTGCAAGTTGTTTTTAATGTTGTTTTTAATGCTGTAACCTGCCCTGGGACCTTAAGGCGAAGGGCAGGTAATAAATAAATCAACAACTGCCACCACTATTTCAAAAGGCCCTGCTAAGCAAAAGTGCTAGTGATCACAAGCGTCTTGAATAATTGTCTTAATTGTACAAAAAGGCAAACTTTTTCTAACTGCCAATCAGACCAGTGACTGGATGCTCTTTTGCTGCCATCAGTGACACCCCCCCCCCCCCGCTTTCTAAGAGACGAGCTTTACCTCCTTGAGCTGCTCCTTGCGCAGTTTATACTCTCTTTTCTGGGATTCCAGGAAGCTGTTCAGCTCTTTCTTCTGCTGGGCTTGAATGTGCTGCTGAAACTTCTTCTCCTCGTTGGCCATGATTTTCGCCTACCCAGGAGAAAAGGCCCAGGAGAGAGCGGTAAGCGGCTCAGGGGGCAACCAAGGGCAACAGTGTCTGCATCGTCAGATATGCTTGAAATGCAGAAACAGTAACACAGGCCTGCCTACTCACACACAGACACTCTGGACACGAGCAGAGAATGCATTAAGCCAACCTCTGCCTTCCAGCTGTTTTGGAAAACCTCCACCAGCCCTTTGGCTCCTGGGCCAAGTTCAAGGTGCTGCTATTAATATAGAAAGCCCTTAACAACTTGGGACCAGCTCACCTACGAGATTGCCTTACCCCATATAATGGTACAAGCGCCACATAATACCCGTTCTGCATTTGTAAGAACTCGAATCTTTTAGTGTAGCCTCACCCACACTTTAGAACTCCTTGCCTATTGATATCAGGCAAGCACCTTCACTGTCCTCTTTTCAGCACCTACGAAAAACATCCCTACCCAGCTGTTTAGAAAGCTGATGTGAGTTTTAATCTGCTTCTAGTCTACTGTCATTTTAACTTTTTGAAAGTCCTAATGCAGTAAAATGATCCACAATATATATTTTCTGGGGTAAACCTCCTTGAAGGTTTTTCATTTAGCAATCAAGAGGTGTATAAACTTTATGACATATAACAAAGAAAGAAAAACATTTGGAGGGCACCAGGACGAGCAAAGGCCACGTTAGGCTTTATCTTATGGCGGGTCTGTGTTGCCCAACCTTACCGGAGAAGCTGTGCGGAAGCAGCTGCCCCCTACCTCCTTCTCCATTGCCGCCTGGTGCTTCTTGATGAGCTTCTCCATCTCTGCTGCAAAGTTGTTGCGCTGGGTCTCCAGGTCCTTGTCCAGCCGTAGGCGGTGCTCATCCATCTCGGCCTTCAGCTTGTTCTCCAGAGCCATCAGCTGCTTCTGGTGCTGCCGCCGCATCCGCTTGTAGCCGGACATCTGCTCCCGGAGCTCCGAGTCTTGCTCGTGCTCCTGCATCTGCCTCGTCACCTGCAGGGAGGGCGGGGAAACAGACCACAGCGACTCAGAGCAGGAGACGTTCCCCAAGGCACGTGAGCGCAGGCCTATGGGCTGCACAGCTCAGTATTGAAACACATCCTTGGCATGCAAAGACGTCTCAGGTTTGATGCCTGGGAGCATCTCCCAGGTATGAAGTCCTGGAGAGATGTTGCCACTCCGTGTAGATGGTACCGAGCTGGATAGACCAACAGTCTGATTCAGTATTAGGCATATCCCTATGTTCCTATTAAATCAGCCCTTAACTCATAACCATGAGGACTAGAATCTTGTTGTATTTTTAGGGGAAGATACATAGCTCAGCAGTGGAGCCCCTATTTAGTCTGCAGAAGGCCCCAAGCTCCATCCCTGGCATCTCCAGGTACGGCTGGGAAATACCTTTTATTTGAAACCCTGGAGAGCTGCTGCCAGTCAGTGTGAACAGTACTGAGCTAGGTGGACCAATGGTTTGACTCTGTATAAGGCAGCTTTATACTTCCCTCTTTCCTTCCTATGTCAGCTGAAGGAATTGTTATGGGGAATATTGGGGGGGACCCCTCAGCTAGCAAGCATCTAGAAAAGCAATGTGTTAGAGAACCAGATCTCCTCCTTTTTCAAAAAACAAAACAAAACATTTTATATTTTAAAAACCAAGCAAAACAGAATTTTCCTCAAGTTTAAAAATTATCATTGTGTTCATGTTACAGGACTTTCTTGCAGGATAAGGAGTCTGATACAGCTGCCCATTAAAATAATGGAAAGGTTTCTACTAAAAAAAAAACCCCAGAAATTGGCTTTGCCCCTTGTTTTTGCTAAGCTGGCCACTGAAGTATGGCTGTTATGAGTTGAATCTAATGTTACTCAGAGCAGGCATTACAAATAATTTTTAAAAACTCTGAAAAGCCCCAAGATGACACTTAGCCAAGGGCCTAGCCCACTCCACAAAGAGAGAGTTGAACCTACCAGCGACGCTGTGCGTATGGTAGCAAAGTGCTCTCGGTTGCGGTAGTGGGATCTGTGGCGAGACACTTGGGGTGGAGACACTTGGGGTTCCGATGCTCTCGATCGAGGGTCCGGATCCTCCCTGTAGTTTTCTTCCTCCTTGGGAAGAAGAGGAGGAGAAGAAGAAATATCAGCGGGGCTGATTGATTTAAAAAGAAACCTCTTGCCCCTTTTGGCTCCAGGTGGGCCATGGGAAGAGACACAGATCATGCCCTCTCCGGGCTGCTGTATGAATTACCGGCTTCAAGTGGATGACAGAGCTGTTGGACATCACCGTGTGGTCACCCTCCATCATGTCCAGCTCGCTCCTGTCGTCCGAGGCATCTGGAAGACTATTAACACTACTGCTTTGGCTACTGGCACTAATGGACATGCTGGGGATGGACTGGTTGCTCCCGACGCTGTTCACTGTTCCCGTCCGGCCCATGCCGTGGTCTTGCTCCTGAAGGGAAGAGGGGAGAACATCACAGAGAGTTGTTAGCAGGGCAACCCACTGCAGCTGTAACATGAGAATCGTTGCCAGTGAGGCGGCAGCACTTAGATCTCTTCCCTGCTGAATGTTCAGCTTTACAGGTAGCCAAGGAAAGACCCTGAGTCTTTTGGGGAAAGAAAATCTCACATGGGTCTGCCGGACATTAGCCAGTTTCACAAACTAGGTAGGTGTTTGTGGACAAGAGCATCAGGGTTAAGACACGGGTTCAAATTTCCTTGCTTGGCTAGCCTCATACAGAATGCTCAGTTCTTGATCTCGATCTTACAGGGAAAGAAATCTAAAGGATAATTCAGACCTCGTTAAATACCCAAGAAAGAAATCATGTGGATAAGTTGTACAATACTGAGAATTGTATCAAGAGCAGCACTTACAGTTGCAAACACACACACACACACACACACACACACAGAGCTTTTTGCCACAGATGAGAATCCAACAGGCTTGGATTCAGCAATGCTCTTTCCAAAAGTTACCAGAAAGGAATGTTCTGCTACAATTTTAAAACACGACTCTTGCAAACAAGCAGCATCTAATTGCAGCCATTTCAGGCAATCTTCACCCAACCTGGTGCCCTCCAAGTGTCTGGGATTACAAGTTCCTTGGGCTCCAGCACTGTGCTGCCTGGGGCTGATGGAAGCTGTGGTTGAAAACACCCAGAGAGCTCCAGGCTGGGTGAAGGCTATGCTCACCAAACTGCAGGAGGAGGAAAGCCTTGTTGCATGATGGAAGGGAAGGCCATGGCTTGACAGCCGAAATTGCAGAGGGCAGTTTATGGTGGACATATCCCAAGATGCAGGTTAAGCTCAGATGGAGATATGAATGGGCTGCTGGGAAAGAGGACCGTGGTGGCGATGCCAGAAGCAAGCACCACACAGTGATGAGCAAAAGGCTGGTGAAGAATTCCTCCCCACCCCCCAAGCCCAGCCTCTGCTTCTACCTCCTCTTCCTCCTGGGTTTCCACCGCGGGACCGTTGTGCGCCTCCTGGAAGAGGAGTTTCTTCATCTTGCGATACTGAAGATTGTCCAGTTCTCTGACTGCATCCTTTGTTCTCTGGATCAGGTCTATTAACACTGTCTCAGGGCGCTCCCGGAGGACAAACACGTGCTGCAGCAGAAGACACAAGCGGGCAGGGGAGTGTCAGTGCCCTGTGACCTCAGGCTCTGCCCACAAACCACAGCATGCCATGGCTACAGGCAAAGCATTCTCCTGGACTGGGAAAAGATATAGGTGCCGACTGCATAGATGGTCTGGCAAGGCTTCCGTCAGTCCGAAGCCCAGGGAATCCCTTACCTGGCAAAGGCCTGTGGGAAGCTGCATGCAGAACTGCTCAACTGGAGGGTCCCAGGCAGAGAGACCTGGCACTCGAGTTCCAGTATGTTTACTCCCTGTTTAGATAAAAGCTCACCACCACCAGAAACTCTAGCTATGATTCTATGACTTAGGATGTCTGGAAGTGCAATATTGCGCTGGGTCAGTCCATAAAGGAAAAAGAACCTCAGAGAGCAGCTGATGGCAGAGACCACGATCCAGGTAAGCCACTGCCAGTTGGAGCAGCTTCAGGATAAGGCAGCTCCATGGGCTTTGCTTAAAAATAAACGTAAGTAGAGAAAGCATCTTTGCAGTGAAGAAGAACTACCATCAATAGTGAACAACAACACCCCCCGCCCTGGTTTACTGGTACTTGCTGCTGTCTGTCAGCAGAGCAAATGAAATTAGATCTACAGGGAAGATGGGAAGGAGAAACAGAATGGCCTTTTCAAAGCAGCAGGCGACTTGTACACAATCTGTGTCAGGGGAAGGAAAAACATGGGAGAAGTAAGATGGGAAGCCTGCTTGCACGCATGTGTGGCGGTGGGAGGACTACATATAAAAGAAACACACACGTGATGTAAATAGATGAAGAGGGGAAAGGTAGATTGTTTGTTAACACATAATAGGTTTTCACACAACTCAAAGGTGTAAGGAGGCCGTGAACCGGTATCAACATATGAAGATGGGAAGCCCCAAGAATGAGAGGCCTGACAAGTTTGCTAAGAGGGATGGAGGAATGTTGAAAGGTTAACTTACAAGGCCCAGAGTGCTGACCATCAAGTCACAAAATAGCCAGGTTCTGCTAGGCTTTGGGAGAAAATGGTACGTGAAAAACATGGAAAGACAAGACTGAAAGGGTAACCGACATGTGCGATTCTAATATTGGGGGGGGAAGGGGGTTTGCTGACAGATGAAGAATAAAGGAAGTCAAGCTAACCTTCAGGAGCTCCTCCGATGTAGGCCTGTCTTGGGGGATTTTCTGGAGGCAAGAATCTACAAAGTTTCGAAAATAATCAGACCTATAAAGGGTAAGGGAAAGCAGAAGTTTTAAACTATTGTTTAGTCAAGGGCGCAGCTGCCTTTTTCACCCATGTCAACACATCACTTACGCAGGATCATCAGAGGAAACACAGCAGCCGGGACTGAGAGACCAGAAGCCACTGCGGAAATTGGACACACAGGAGAGGCAACCGCCCACCATTACAATTTGACATGGCAAATGCTGCTCTCATGCAAGCATTGCTGTGATGGATCTAACAAATTTCATTTTTGCTCAAATAAATAAATCACCAAAGTGCTCACTTATAAACCCATTTAGGTACGTTGATCCCGAAACCCAGACAACTGACCCCAAAAAGTGTTGCAACCTCTCCTCTCCTCCTTCGGCCATTCACTCACCATTCATTGGACTGGAGTGTAGGGGATTCATTCTGCGCTATGTGATATAAGGCACTCATTGCGTTCATATTAAACAAGGGAGGCTTCCTTTCCGCTGCACAGAAAGAAAAAAGTGTTTGCTTAATGGAGGGGGAAGCAACTGGTGGCGCCCCAGCCGGCCTGTGCCTGATCCAGATAGAACGAGGTCACTTGCACCTGCCAAACCCTCCCGCCCCTCACTGCAGCAGAGGGGTAAATACCATGCCTGTTGCACTTTCAATGGCCAAACGAGCCACCCAAATGCCAAAGGGTTCGGGGGGGGGGGGCTTCTCCAAACTGATGAATGTTTTGCACAGTCCTACCACTGACATATCTGCTTTAATAATAATAATAATAATAATAATAATAATAATAATAATAATAATATATTATTTGTACCCAGCCCATCTGGCTGGGTCTCCCCAGCCACTCTGGGCGGCTTCCAACAAAGATGAAAAATACACTAAAATGTCACATTAAAAACTTCCCTGAACAGGGCTGCCTTCAGATGTCTTCTGAATGTCAGGTAGATGTTTATCGCTTTGACATCTGATGGGAGGGTGTTCCACAGGGCGGGCGCCACTACCGAGAAGGCCCTCTGCCTGGTTCCCTGTAGCTTTGCTTCTCGCAATGAGGGAACCGCTAGAAGGCCCTTGGTGCTGGACCTCAGCGTCCGGGCAGAACGATGGGGGTGGAGACGCTCCTTCAGGTATACTGGACCGAGGCCGTTTAGGGCTTTAAAGGTCAGCACCAACACTTTGAATTGTGCTCGGAAACGTACTGGGAGCCAATGTAGGTCTTTCTACATTGTAGAATGTAGGTCTGCTTTCTACCAAATCCTTTTTTTAAAGCCACCAAAGAAATCGCTGTCTCTTATGTCAGAAATTTTCACAGTTTAACTAGAAGCTGTGTGGAACTCTAACCCCAAATTCTAATACAGTGGACCCTCTAGTTACATACCACTCTGGATACGCAACTTTCGGGTTACAAATGCGACAAACCCGGAAGTGTATACTTCCGGCTTTTGCTGCGCATGCATGAGCAGAAGCACTCAAATCGCGCTGCGCGCATGCGCAGAAGCAGTGCCCCTGCATATGGACTTTTTGGGTTGCGGACGGACCCCCGGAACAAATTTAATTCATATCCGGGGGATCCACTGTAATATGAATGAGGAAAGTCTCTTTCTGTTCTCCTCCTCCACCCCAATTCATGAACCTCTCCCCTGGATCCAAATTATCTTTTCTTTTTAAAAGACCCAAGTGCTCTATTATTTTTCTCCCAAGGGGGAAAATGCTCCAGCCCTTGATCAACTTTGGTTGCTTCTTTTTCTATCTTTCTCAGTTCCAAAATAATCTTTTTAGATGGGGCAAGACATAATTTAGCACCAGTGTTGCCGAAATACAAGAGGCCTCATCACTACTGGCATTCTGCCGGCTCTTGAAGACATACCTGTTTAGACTGCAATCCTCTTGATTTCCTGACCTGAAACTCCTCATCTAATCATTTTAACTGCTGTTTTAAACTGCTTTAATTATTATGTTGCTTTAGTGGGTTTGTTTTATTGGACAGTTTAATTATGGGTGCTTTTTAATGTTTTGATGAAATTGTTTTGTTGTGTATTTTAGTTCTGTGGGGATATATTTTTGTAAACGGTTTTACACTTGTAAAACCACTTAGAAGCCATTTTGGCAAGCAAGCAGTATATTATTATTATTATTAGTAGTAGTAGTAGCAGCAGCAGCAAAAAATGTACAAGTTTTGCCTGGGAGAAGTCAGAACTCGAACAGGCGGACATGGCCTACCTAATTCAATACACGTTATCCCAAGTGACCACACGTCGACTTTACCATCATATTGCCCTTCATCCATGGCTAAAATCACTTCCGGGGCCATCCTGAAGAGAGAAAAATTAAGGTGCTTAGCAGATCCACTCACCAAAATCCTTGACCATTTCTGTCTTGCCCTTTAGGATGAAGACTAACACTGACTACTAACCAACACTAACTAGCCTGAGGTGTAGAGAAAACAATACAGAATATGAGTATATCTGGAGGCCTGGGGTCCCAAGGTTGCTACATAGTTGCTTGAGGAAACCCAGTATGAGGTGGGAACACAAGCAGGGCTGAGGGCTCCTGAAACAGCAGAGCAGAGAGAGAGAGAGAATATATGTCTTGCATGTGGATGTTCTCTTATCGTCCTCTTCCTCCACATCATTTTCTTGAGTCACTTAATCTTCACCAGGAGAAGGGAAAGGAGAAATCAGGATGGGCCAGAGAAAGATGCAATGGCAACTTGGTGTCCCTTGGAACTGGTAAGGTGGAAGGCAGGATGACTGACAGCAGGTGGAGCGGGTGGCACTGTGGGTTAAACCACAGAGCCTAGGGCTTGTTGATCAGAAGGTTGGTGGTTCGAATCCCTGCGACAGGGTGAGCTCCCGTTGCTCAGTCCCTGCTCCTGCCAACCTAGCAGTTCAAAAGCACGTCAAAGTGCAAGTAGATAAATAGGTACCGCTCCGGCGGGAAGATAAATGGCGTTTCCGTGCGCTGCTCTGGTTCTCCAGAAGCGGCTTAGTCCTGCTGGCCACATGACCCGGAAGCTGTACGCCGGCTCCCTTGGCCAATAAAGCAAGATGAGCGCCGCAACCCCAGAGTCGGCCACGACTGGACCTAATGGTCAGGGGTCCCTTTACCTTTACCTTAAGTATATATTAGGTCTTACTCAGTATAAGGCTACCTTCTATGTTCCTTTCCAGTCTTCATAAGCTATTTCAGGAAGTACTAAAGGGTGACAATGTGCTGGCAAGTGGAAAACGACTCATTGCTAGACCCCAATATTTATACTCTGGAATGACAGACCTGGCATTGAAGTAATCTCCTTTCCAGCCCACTTTAAGGGTCATCCAGAAATCTGCCGTGCATGTAAGACCATTAACTGCAAAACGTTAACTCCCACAGCAATACCAATGCTGAAGCCTCCCTTACCAATATGGTGTCCCCACAAATGAGTTGGCAGGAGATGCTATGGAAGCAGATCCGAAGTCAGCGAGTTTCACCTGGCCTGGTTCCGTCAGTAGGATGTTTCCTGCCTTGATATCTCTGGGGAACAAATAGAAGTCAATATGCCACACTTGTTTACTGGCCCCAACACAGGAACAGCCAAACTGCTGCCCCACCACCCTTCATGGATCTTGTAGAACTACAAGGCCAACATCCCACACTTGCTGGGACTCGTGAGTTATAGTGCAAAGAATTTGGAGGGCACCATGTTGGCTACCCCTGCCATGAAGAGATTACATACAAACACAGCTGTAGTAAAGAAGGAAGGAAGCACTAACATCACCCCAAAACGTCTAGGGAAGATGAACCAACACAGTGGCAAGGGGGCGTGAGCGCCTTAACTGCAATCCTGCCCCCAGCAACAGGACCAATGAACCCATCCTGTGTCCACCCTGCTGTGGTGCCTCAAAGAAAACCATGGGGTGGCAGGCTTCCTGTTGGAGCATCTGGTTGGCCACTGTGAGGGTGTTGAACTAGACAGGTTGCCAACCGCCTAGCCCAGAACATGGGCTCTTCTCATGTCCTTCAAAGTCACTGCAAGTTCAGGCTGCCAGTAAAGCTTAGAGGGTCATACCTAAGTAAATTATACTCAAGCAGACCGACCTGAAATTACAAGCCCTGGGCGAGTCACACCTAGTCATTTCAATGGTCTATTCTAATAAGTACGACTAACACTGGATACAATTAGTGTGTGTTGTGATTATTTTCTGATAAATCAACCATTTGTTTACATTGATCAGCCTGGACACAGATCCAGCTCCAAGAGCCTTCTGGTGGTTCCCACACTGCAAGAAGTGAAGCTACAGGGAACCAGGCAGAGGGCTTTCTTGGTAGTGGCACCCACCCTGTGGAATGCTCTCCCATCAGATGTCAAGGAGATGAGTAATTATATAACATTTAGGAAACATCTGAAGGCAGCCCTGTATAGGGAAGCTTTTTAAGGTTTAAGGTTTTACTATGTTTTTATATATGCTGGAAGCCACCCAGAGTGGCTGGGGTACAAATAAATAAAGAAATTGTTGTTGTTGTTATTAGCAAAACTGCAGCTCCTCATATCTGCCTGATGTACTGAAGAAAGTTGAGTTGGGTTTTTATCACCTTATTTGCTTAATTGTTTGACAAAGGCAGTGGTAGTTGGGGGGGGTCTATATAGCACCCCATGAAGACTCTAGATCTGGGGAATTTTAACGCATAACACACAGTGACCTGTACACAAACGCACCCCTATCCCGTGTATGGGTCTGCCTTATTAAGTCAAGTCATCACTGCAGGTTCTCTGTACACTTGACGAAAAAAGAGGGAAAGCCACCCCATTTAGAAAACCACAAGCTTTTTGCCCAGAGAAACCACAAAATGCAGGTGAAGTTCAAGCAGGCACCACTGGCGATGTCGTGAGGAAGGACTTACCTATGGATCATGTTGTGAGAATGCAAGTATGCTAAACCTTGGAGAGCACCGTGGGTAATTGCAGCAATTTCCAGCTCTTGCAATGGCTTTTTATGGACTTGAGGAAAGAGAAACTCAGTTAGCAAAACAGGAAGGGACGGGCTGAATATGCACGCTGCTGACTTGACCAGGCCCGTAAGGTAGGCGACAACACAGAGAGGGCCAGGTGGATTTGGGAACCAGACAGTCTGCAGTGTGCCCTGAGATGAACTCAAGAGCCGGCACAAGTTACTTTATTGCCTGCGTTTCCCCAAATATCAGTTTGACAATCAGCATCCAATCTGTCAAACACATCACAAGCCTCCACAAACGAACAAATGAGGAAAAAGGTTGTAAAAGGTTAACCTCTCCCCAGCCACTATCAGGGGTTCTCACACAGCAGCACAATGAAAGCTCATCTTGCTTCATCAGGCTACTACAAGGAAGCATCCAGCATTTTAAGAAGGTAGTGTGGTGGGCCTTGCCCCCTTACAAAATTGTTTTGTGGGTTTACATCCCTTTGCTGAGCAGCCCCAGGCAGGGGCCACCCAAACAGGGCCAAAGACTCTATGTAACCAAATAGGGGGAAGTTGCCTGATTGGGGAAGGGACTGGTGAAAGGGAAACAGCAGAAAAAGACCATCAAGTTTTGAAAAATTGGCTCTACAAAATACACCTATGGGGCATTTCCTCCCTTTTCCTCCCTTTCACACAGCATGGGATCACCTGGCAATCAAAGGAACTGAGAGGAACATACCTTCTAATAAATCTGATGCTGATCCTAAACAGTATTCCATAACAAGCTGTATAGGGCAGAAGAGGGGGAAAGTGTTAGTAAGCGCTTCAAATGGCAAGGGTGGCACCCCCAACGCCCTAAAACAGGGTCTCATGACAACCAGCTCCTCAGACAGAACCCCACCACCCCCACATTCCTCAACAGGCTATCCATTAGCTTTATTTGGACCAACCCTCTCCAGTCTTTCCCCACGGCTTCTGTACTGGGTAGCCATACAGAGGTAGCCTGTCTCCGCCAGCAAGTTTCCCTCAAGGTGTCCCAAAGAAATGTGTCAGCAGGGCCCCGACTGTCGACCTCCGATGACTGGAGGAGCCCTTGCCCACCTGTCCATTTGACTGAGGAACAGCATTGCCAAAGTTTTAAAGTATCTCACAAAATGCACATTTATCCTGATCTTCAGGAACATGACCCCTCTCCCTCCTCATGTTGATTGCTATTTATTTTGTGTTTCACAATTGGCTCCTATGAGGCATCCTGAACTCATTTCCAGGATTTATATGGACGGTTACATGCACAGAAAACCAACTGCATATATGAAAATATTTTTTTAAAAAACAACAACCCAGATTTAAACATAAGAACAGTTTAAAAGAACAGCAGCACATAGAGATAAAACCCACTCCATCCCCAAGACAGACACTAACTGGGATAAAGGTTTCAGAAAGCTTGTCAAAAGGGGAGGTGTCTTTTGCAGAGAAGGTGCCTGTGGGATCTGCATCTGCAAGAGCGTTCCAAAGGGCAGGTGCCACCACACTGAAGGCCCTGTTTCAAGACTGTGCAGAATGGAGCTCCTGATAGGATGAGACCTGCGGGGTGCCCACTCCTGCCGAGTGCAGTGAACTGTTGAGTGTAAGGAAGGTATCCTGGCCCCAAGCTGATATTTTTATTTATTAAATTCATATCTCACTCACAGGAGGAAACTACAGGAGGAGGATAGTGCTCTTATGCTTGGGGTCCTGCTTGCATTTGGTTGCCCTTGTGAGAAGGATGCTGGATCTGATGGGCCATTGGCTTGCTCCAGCCAGGCTCTTCTTTGGGTCTTACCTTTTGTGCCAAAGGAGCCCAGGGCTCCACTAACCCTAGGAAGCAGGCTTATGCCACACCAAAGGTCCTTCCCAGCCTTCTGCACAGCGCCTTTGTCCAGTGGAGATTCAGCGGACTGAAACTGGGGTTTTCAACATGCAAAGCTTCTGCTCTGCTGTCTGAGCTGTGCCTACCCTCCCTAATCCAAGTGTTCTATAGTGGGACTTCCTCTCCTAGGGACATTACAGACACAGGGATGCCAGCAACTGACTTTTGTTCTCAAAAGAGGCGGCTTATAATTTGGGTTTTGCGCAAGCTGCCCTCTTTCCGTTGAAGCTGAGAGAACACATTTCTGTATTTCTTTTAGGATTTAAAATTCCAGAGGAATCAATAAATCTCCTATCACGCAGGCAGGGCATTATAACTAGAAATTCAGGCCAAATGGGAGAGAGAAAACTTCAAAGGCTTTTGGCTTAAGAGGGCAAGAAACCAGCTGAAAGTTTGGTCTCTTACTTGTGTCACGTGGGATTTAGTCAATCATCCAGAAGACTCACTCACTAGCAGCCAGCTCCTGCAGATGTTTATGTAGAATCAAGACCCACTGATTTTCGGGGGGGGGGGGTTACTTCCAAATAAGTAAGCAACTGGACTGCAACTTTGTGAGAGCCTTGTTGGAGGAAGACTGAAACGCTGCTTCCACATTTGCTTAAATTTGAACAAGGGCTAAAGGGGCACTTTGGACTGGAGGTTTCTAGACACACCCACCCTGGTATGTTAGCATCCCAGAGCCTGAAAGTGAAGCTAGATGGTGGTTTTATGGGGCATTGTGTAGAGCACGGGTGGGGAAATATATGCAGCCTTCCAGAGACTGCTGGAATCCCATCAGCCCTGGCCACTGTCCATGCTGGCTTCTGGGAGTTGGAAGTCCAGAGACATCTGGAGAGCCACAAGCTTTGGGAAGCTGATAAAAAGACCACAAAGGCCTTCCATATTGCAATTCTCAATAAAGAGTGGCCAAGAACTGGCCGAAAGCTAACGGAATATTTCATGAGCGATCTATACAACAGAGCAAATGTCTTATGCCGCTTCAGTTAGAGCAAACTCTTCTCATGAATGCCATAAATCTCATCAAAGCTTTGATGCTGCATTTTGTTTTCAAGACAGAGGCCTGGTATGATAGGAATCTTGCTGGAGCTTTGAGTCTCAAGCAAGAGTAGAAGCAGGGAATGAGTCTGATGATAAAACCATGCAAGGGGGTAAAATAAAAGGTAAACAGCTATCTCTAACATACAGGGTCAAAATTTTCACCGGCCAAGGACACTGGATGACAAGAGTATTGCCTCAATAATCCAGTCAATGCCTGCTGGACAAAGAAGTTTACAGAAGCTCAAAAGATCATATATATATATATATCACCTTCAGATATATGTAAATGGCAATTCATACATTCATTCAATAGAATTGTAAAAAACTTTCAGGAGGTAACAACTGGGAAAAGGCAAGTGCTGGCGAAGGGTGTTGATTCAATACCTTCAGCCAGCAGACACACATTTCCTTTTTACACTGCTCAACACACACACACACACACACACACACCTCCACAAAGGGAAAGGAAAGATGCGCTTACCCATGCTGTATGCTCCCGCAAATAGCAGCCTTTGTATTCTATACTGTTTGGATGTTTAATTCTTTGTAGGAACTTGACTTCTTTAATGATATCCTGCCATTTCTACAAAAGGGAGAAAAGAAGGAGAAGGTCAAGCTTTACAGATGAGAGAAAATGTTTTTTGGGAATCGGAGGCAGAGGGCAGGTATGATCTGACCAGGACAAATACATAAGCAGAGGACTAAGAAGATCAGAAGCAACAAGGCAGAGGAACGGCCACATTCCTCTGCAGCCACCAGCTGCCCTTCTCCATTCAAGAACAAGATACCCTTAAGGCTTTATGTTCCCCCTTTCAGCTGACCTTTATAAACTTAAGTTAAAACATATTTATCCATATTTCAACCCATATTTCAACCTGCCTTTCCTACTGACCCCCACTACAGAACCACAGGGTAGGAACTTCTTTTTTTTTAGCCCAAGGGCTGCATTCCCTTATGGGTAACTTTATGGGGGGGCATTTGCCAGTGGTGGGCAGGGCCAGAAGCAAACCACGACGGAGTAACGGATGCAACCCTTTCCTTTGTAGAGCAGCCCACAATTCAGTCGGGCAAATGTCAGAGGTCGCTTCGCCCACACATCTTTCCATCCTCCGTCCAGGCATGCAAGAGGCATCGGCACAATTCAAAGACTCGCCCCAGCCGGGCGAACGCCACTGAGGGCACAGAGCAATGCCAGTGAGGGGTGTATCCTAGGGAGACTCCCAACAGAGAGGCCTGGCATTTGCCACCCACCCCACCCCCAGGCCTGAGGTCCCCAACCACTGTGTTCTATCTTTCTTTGCACAAGTAGCCCCTAATGCAGCTGCTGACGGAGGACAGAAACAGTGATTTGCCACATGGAGACACAAGCATTACTCTGCTGCACCAAGAGCTCTTGCCTAAGCAGGAGTGTTGTGGCACAGATGGAATTCGGAGGAATTCGGCCCTCTGATCAGCCACGTTGGCCCATGGGGGGAAATTGACACAGAGGGCGCTACTAAACCAAGTGCATCAATTTTGTTGAATTAATTAAACTAAATTGTTTTAAGTAGATTTTGACTAAATGTGCAATCAATTGCTTCTCTTTTGAATTTTACAGTGTTATTATCTTCCTTAAAGGGTTGTGCAACCTGCTATTCTGAATAATTTCTTTTACAGGGTAGGAGGCACTGGGGATGAGCTTATGGAACCAAAGGGGTGGTGGCCCAAAAAAAGTTTAGGAACCACTGCTTTAGCTGATCCTGAACTGAGCTGGTGTGTGTGTGTAATAGATGACCTCCAACTCCTATGACTGCAAGAACGGAGGAGAAGGTAGCTGCATTTCACCCTTCAGTGTTGCTGGCATGATGATTAAATGTAACTGCAACTTAAGCTGCCTTCTCTTTCTGCAAGAGAGGAGCAATCTAGAAAGAGTTTTTAAACTGTGTTTTTCAAAACAGACACACACCCGCCCACTGGAGACAATCCAGCCTTATTTCTGAAGCGGGCACCATGTGCTTCATTCATGTGAACAGAGTATTTATAGCCCGATAGTAATTAAATCAGCAGGATGAGAAACAGGTATAAATTAGACTTTCACCATTGCATGGTTAAACAAGATGCACAAGGCTTCAGGAACAGAATAAAAATGGAATGCGGGAGGCTGGTGTGGGGAAGACAGAGAAAGGACTCCTAGTTCTGCAGTACCTCAAGACACAGGTAGGAGAAGGGCCACTAAAAGGCATTTTTACATGGCAGCCAGGCATCCTACTCTACATTCAGTACCAGGGCAAGTTCAGAGCAGGATGTAGTTGTTTTGGTTTTTGTTTAAAAAATACAAGTCCTCACAGCCCAGATAGAGTGCTGTTGTGTGAACCCCCTGCTGGTTCCTGACACTCCATGTCACACACCTCTGCTTTTCTCCTTTCCCCTCTTGCAGTGATCACTAAGCCTCAGAAGCTGTACTTAACAGCCGAATGGGCTTTTAATGTGCCAGGCTTCAGGCACAAGGCCAGCAAGAAGCAGCAACTAGGCTGTTCTGCCCTGGTCTTCTGCCCTCACCAAGCCTCAGAGCCTGCTGGCACCTGGGCCCTTTAACTGCCGTTCTGAAAACATGTTCAGTTATTCCATAGTGAAAATAAAATGTTTTAACAATAACTGATCTTTGGTGCACAGGATGCGCCCCCATTCTACTGACAGTCCTGAATAAATAGCTCTGTTCTGTTAAGGCAGAAGTAGCAAACCTCAGGCCCTGCACCTCACCAGCCCTGTTTTGCACCCTCCTTGAGTGTTCTTGTCTGGCTGGACTGTGTCCTTAAACACTGATAATGCATCTTGCTTGTCTGGACAGAGGATGGAGGGTGTGTATGTGTAGAAAGCAGCCTATGGTTCAAAAGTAGAAGTTTACATTTGCAGCTCCACCCACTTTTGCTTCTGGCGCCACCCACCACCACCATGTGCCCCCCTCCCAGAAGATTTCCATAAAGGGAATGCAGCCCTTAGGCTGAAAAGCAGGCAAGGGAAGCTTCTGTTCATACAAAATCCAGACAGGGCTGCAGTTCTTGAAACACAGCATAACATTAAAATCTCCACACTTCCTTTCAAACATGAAACTAAAGGGTCTTCAGCCAAGGATCTAGAACTCAAGCGGATCTAGGGATGCCAGGAGAGTGGGTGACATTCCTAACCTCCAAGGCTTGCTCTTGCTGGTAGCGCTCAAAGCCGACCTTAATCTGCCTGGCCTGCAATTTTCCCACGCTCACACCGTTTCCCCACTGCATCTTTCTGAAGTTCCTTGGGACGGATTTGTTCAAAGCAAAGAGCCAGGAAGGGAGAGAGGAGCTTCTGCTTGATCTGCCTTTGATTAAATTCTGCAGGCAAGCAAGCTCTGCTGTCTGAGCGGGTGCCTCTGCTGCATTCATGTCTACCATTCCTAGCAAGTTTTCTTTAGTTAGCTAGCCAGGCGATGGGGCTTTGGGTGTTTTGTTTTGAAGCAGAATTTTAGAATGGAATGTCGAAGGCCAAAGAGGAAAGCCAACGTGCGCTTAAGTCAGAATACCACAGCACTAGGTTCGTTTCAGCTTTTGCTATTGATATTATAATAACATGCATTTTGCACAAAGAGGCCCTTTTTAGGTTGTAGGACAGCTGATCAGTCCCCGGCTAATTCAACAGGGAGAAGCAACAAGACTCAAGAAATCCCAGGAGTATCTCTTGTGGCACTTCTTTCCAACTTCATCGCTAAGGGTGCAATCTGGAAGGATGTGGTCATGCCTGCAAATAAAGCTTCCCTGAATGGCATTCAACTGATCCCCAAGAATCCCAGCTCCTGCCTGGGTTTTTGAAAGCACACTTCTACTCTTCATGATTGCAGATATAAAGTTTAAAGACAGGGGGAAAGGACGACTTAAAGGCTCAGGGATGAGGGCAGGAAAATGTTTCTTGTGTTCAGGGAAAGAACAATCTTTTCCACACTTCATCTCTCTGGCTCCCTCCTCAAAATTCCAAACACCGCAGGCCCCTCACCTGCTGCCTACCTGGATCCCTGAAGCCTTATTCTCCTCCCCTTCTAGCACAGACTGAAATTTCCCATTATGACAGAGTCCCCAGAGACACTGAATACTCAAGGATACTGGTTACTACTGCTCTTTATATTTGCTTTGAATTCTCATTCTGCGTGCAGTTCAACTAGTGAAGTGTTGAAGGGAACATTCTGGAGAAAGAACCCCGAGGAGTTCCTGTCGCCCCCAATGGTTGCAGAGCTTAAATCAGCCTCCCCTCCCACAAAATCTTGGTGCTGGACTACAACTCCCCTCACCCCTGACGATTAGCCATGTTACTGCTGCTAATGGGAGTTGTAGTCCACAACCTGTGAAGGGCACCAGGTTGGCAGAGACTGGCTTGAATGAACCTACGTCAGCAGATGCAGCACAACCATTCACAAACGCCTCACGTACCTCGTTGGATTGCTTCCCACTGTAAGACATTTTCTTGATGGCCACCACTTCATTGGTGCGCACATCATGTGCCTGCAATGTACAAAACAAACAAACAAACCAATAACCACAATGCTGTCACAGCGTTTATTCTGCTAGCAGAAGATCCCACCAAATTGAAATCCAACGTATCAGGACTCAAACCCACAGTAGGTCTTGAAGCTGGAACATGGGGATGTTGGGGAATAGACTGGTCAAGGGAAAGGGAGCTTGCCAGTGAAAAAGTCTCTGAGCTGTGCACTAGAGCAAGCAAGGCAAGCCAGACCTCTTGAATCCTGCAGAGTCTGCTGGGTCAGACTCACTTCCCAGCCTAAGCAGCAAGTTCTTTGCTCTTGCTGTTGCCAGTGCTGGGGATAGACTCCCTTTGCCTCTGCGAGGATCCAGGTCTGACAGCCGGCCATTTGGGAACCCCCTCTTGACCACAGGTGCCAATCAAGCAGCCCTAGCATGGCTCTGGACCTCTGCAGATGTGTCACACAATTAAAGCCTCCATAGGCAAAGCACACAACTACCGTCTCTGGCAATGACACCCCCTGAAGAAGGTGAGGAAGTGGGCTTGGCCTGGCAAGTAACCAGAAAGGACCAAAATGCGAAATGTCATTTATTGCAGGGTAGACACAAGAATCTGCATTACTGGCAGACTCCACGCAGTCTGAGTACTAACATGACGTAATGGCTGGGCAATACCTTATTTATGAGCCAGGGGTGGGGAACCACTTTTGATTTGGTGGGAGAACAGGGCTCAGTTAGAAGGAGCAAGGGAAGGCGCTGGAAAAGACTGTTCTACATTTTTATCTAATTTGCTTAGCTCCTCATTCAAAATCAACATGATTAACAGAAGTCACAAAAAGAGAAGAAAGCTTGAGGGTGTCTGAGGCCAGAATGGATCCTGTACCCCTATTTTTTATGGCCGTGTCCCTAATTTTATTAGGGATTTAATCCTTCCTGGGAGGAAACTGACCATTCTGAGGCTTCTCTCAAATTCCAAAAGCTGGATGACAAAAGGGACAAGGGGCTAAGAATTTAGAAGAAGGACCCAGAAGTCCAACCTTTTGTGTGTGCATGTTTGCATTCTCAACCTGCAAGGCCTCAAGAACAGCCAGAGTTAAAATTCCAGGTCGCTTGGTTCAGAGCGTGCCCGGCCTCCCTCAGGACCACACGCTGATGTGCTCTAGCAAGTGCAAGGAGCTTGCAGGGGGTGGGGTGACAATTCCCAGCTGTGTTCCACAATGCCACACTGACAATGGATGCCAGTACGCAGCCTAGCAAAGCATCTCCACTTCCACACAACACACTTTTGTTAGGTCCGCTATTGTTCCAGGGAGGCCCTCCTCGTCCCTCGCAAGGACACTGGAGTTGAGTACTAATAGCCTCAATGACAAACCTCTAATTCAAGACAAACCGGAAACAAAGCAAAGCCCTCACTATGCCTGCTCCTGTGACACGGGTCACAAGGAAGACACACACACCTCCCGATTGCACTTGTCAAGGCCTCTATGGCTTGAGCCAGCTGTGTGCATGCACCCTCTATTTTGGACAGGCAAAGCTATAGTGCCCCCCACCCCCAGAGCACCTTAGTAAACATGGGGTCAGTCTACATGGCTTTTTTTTCTATTCCAGCCCTTAAATAACATGCAGACCCTCTGAGGGGAGATCTACCCAACAACTAAAGTGGGAGAGAAAAGGGGGGGGGCAAATGAATCAAGAGCTGTGCAAAAGAAGCAGGCACAGGAGCAGAATAACACAGCATCTGAATAACTCAGCATTAATGAAGATACAGCCAATGGCAGAGTAAGAAGTCAATGGGCCCTTAGTGGGCATAAAAACTTAATGAGAGCCCTGTTGGATCAGGCCAGTGGCCCATCTAGTCCAGCATCCTGTTCTGATACTGGCCAATCAAATGCCTGTGGGACCTGAGTGCACAAGAGAGAGTGCTCTCCGCTCCTGCAGTTTCCAGCAACAGGCATTCAGAAGAATTATTGCTTCTGACTGTAGAGGCAAAGCACAACCATCATTAATGATCATTAGTGGTGCCATGTGAGACAAGTGACACCTTGCGATTGCCAATAGCTAGCTGTGAGTTTATTCTTTTCCATGTGCCCCACAGCACCTCCATGCCCAACCCCAGCCCTCTTACAAAATAAACAGCTCCAAAGCTTCCATGGCCGATCTCTCGGAGATCCGTGAAGAGCTTCTCTGGATCTTCTTTGAAGAAGAGCTCTGCAATCTCGGGGTCCTTCAGGCTGCCCGCTCGGCTGGTGGATGGCATTCTGCTGGGCAGTTAGCCAACCGACTATCTGGGTTTAAAGTGCCACCTCGACCCTGGGCTCATCTGTATGAATGGAGCCTTTTCAGCATGGATCACTGCAAGGATACAGGGGAGAGAAAAGGCAGCATGTTACAGGAAGGGAAATCAAAATACAGGTAAACCAAATCCTTGGCCAACCGCTGCAGCATTGCAAAGGTTCTCTTTGCACAAGGCGTCCACTTCAAGCTACAGTCCACGTTGCAAGGTGCTTTCAGGGGAAGGAGATCCTGAATGCCACCAGATTGTGTCCAAAGCAGGCACTCCTATTTATTTACTAAATTTATATCCCACCCTTCCTCCAGGCAGCAACACTGCATCATTGTCCTGTAGGCTATTCAGAGACTGGGCTCAGGAGCTCCCACAATGCACAGCAAACAAACTGGGGTCTTCCTCTTTAAGGGTCACACATGGAAGTCCAAGGTGCATTTGCTAGCATCTCTATGAAGGATCTGCAGTAGTAGGGCTGGCAAGCCGGAGGGAGAATTGGTGAGTTGTTGTCAATCAAAGCAGACAATCCTGGGCTAGGGATCAATGGTCTGACTCTGCCCAAGTGGTGTGCATCCACTTGTCAATGCATACTGCTTCTCCCAAATTAGAACAGCACTTGCATAAATCAGGCATGCCTAGATCTACCTAGATGGATTACACAATTAAAACTCATACGCAACTAGATCTTCAACACTGTAACTGTATTCCCAGTACCACATCAGATCAGCAAACCCTGTTTCTATAGCAATGGAGGCAGAAATGTAGAAACTGTGCAGTCAAATCTGACAGATCTTTAAGACCTTCGTCTCTACCCACCCCTTCATATGCATATTCACATTCTTGCTAGCCAAACATAAAAAAGATAATGTCAGAACCCATTTCAGGAGGAATTAACCCCATGATTTCATATAAATTAGGGAGGGGAGATTCCAAACAGAAAACAAGTGCTAATTCTCCAAGGGCAGCAACCAAACTGACTTTACAGCAATTTCCAAACCCAGCCAATATTGTAAGTGTCTAGAAACTACCACGCCACACTTTTAGTCTACCCCTACCTAAAGCATTCTCCCTGGCTTTTTAAGTTATTGGGCCGGGGTGGAGAAATTCAGGTCCCTGAGGGCCAAATCCAGCCCTCCATACCTCTCTCCCCCCACCCTCAGGACTCTCCCCAGGCCCTGATTCACACCCTACTTGAGTGTTTCTTGCTGGAGATGTGTCACTGAACTCTGATAGCACCCTCTTGCTATCAGAGGATAGAGATGGACATGCAATTTGTTTGTGTGTGTAGAAACTAGCCTGCTGTTCAAGGCTGAAGATTTATACCTGTTGCTCCACCCACTCTTGCCTTTGGCCCAGCCCATCACTGGCATGAAGTCCTGGGAAGGCTCTCCGGGGGGGACTGCGGCCCTCAGACTGTAAAGGGGCCCCACCTCTGAAAAAGGCCTTTAAGGGAAGGTAGCGACTGACTGAGCTGGGTACAAGCTCCCCTCTGATGTTCCCCTTTCAAGATCAGTTTTGCACATGATCCGGATCAGGTCCCCAGAGCAGGTGGGGTGAGGGCTACTGGAACTGTGCCTCCCCTTCCACCCGTGGCCAAATAACAAGGCTGATTGTGGAAAGGAACACACTGCACACAGCCCAAAGAATTAGGTGCAAGCTAGCCAGGCCCCATGGAAAGCATGCTATCTGCCGCATTCCTCACATAGGAGGGAAAAGTCCAACAATGCTACAACTTAATCCTCACTCTGAAGAAGGAATTTAAGATTATAGAACACTTTTTTGCATTTACAGTCCATTTCTAAAACAAACAATAAACAGAAGCATCAAGCAGAAGAAAGGGTGGGGTGAGGCGCTGATAAGTGACAGCACACTCCGTATTACTGGGAGAAATTCTTCCTGGCTCAAAAAGTAATGAGGTCATATTCCATCTTTAAGCAGCACTGGGCCCTTACAAAAAAGACATTGTTCAGGATGCAAATGCTGCAATCCCACAAATGCCCTTCTGCTGCCCCCCACCCTGCTCGTATCTGTTCGTGTTAACTAGAGAGAAGAGGGCTTCACACACCTGCCTCTGGGCAAGGCTATGCACTCCCTGGGTAAGGAGATCTACGTTCGAGAGGTAGCATCCATGGCCTGCTCCCATCCACAACCACCACCGCGATGTAGATGAGCTCTGAGTCACCAAGAGACAGGGCAGCAACAAGCTTCCAATGCTAGCCAACACTAGCTGCAGTTGCTGTTCAAGCAGAGTCCTCCCAAGAAACAGCCCATTCACCTATGGAGGAAACAAGCACTTTGTGGCCTTACAAAATGTCCCCTAAAATGCATGCATGTTTGACTCAGCTGCAGGAGAGTAACCTAAGGCTACCAGACGTCTCCATTTCCCGAGGACAGTCCCCGGATTTACAAATCAGTCCCCATACAAAATCTGATGAAGTTGAAAAGTAACCTACTATTCTGGTCACTCAGTTTATGACTGATCCAATGCCTTTGTGTAAAGCTTAAAAGCAGATCCACCAACTCTCCAGCTCTCATTTGAAATTCCCAGTTCCAAAGGGAAATGCTCCAGGCCGCTGACATCACCAAAGCCAATTTCATAATAAAAACAGGGGGGAACGTTCAGAAAGGAAACAACAAAACAATGGAAGCAAACACGCAGCAAATTAAACTGACAAATACAACAAAAAATATTCGCTAAGCAGCAGGTAAAAAGTTTTGTTGTTGTGTTTTTTCTTTTAAAAAAAGGTCCTGGAACTGAATGGAGCTCAATAAATTTTCCAGCAAAAGGAATTCCACATCCTGAGTAACATCAGCCACACCCTCAAGGGCAGTGGAGGCTGGTCCATTAGGATGGCAAGGACCCCCCCCACCTGCCTTCTTTCTCAGAGGGTCCAGAGGGTGGTACCCCCCACCAGCTGCCTTCTCAGCCTCAGTGTTGCTCTTATGCATCTCAGCAGGCAGGGTGGGAAGAAAGCTGGAAGGGGGGGGGAGAGGACTCTGCTTGTCATTGGCTTTGGCAACACCTACTATTGGTCTCCCTGCCCAACCATACCAGCCACTGCGGCCCAATGGTGCCTCAGAAGTTGGCAGAATGCGCAAAAGGGCCTCAACGGGTTATCAAAATTGACAGGTAGTTTCAAATGGAAGTCATGGTCCTTGACATATCATGTCCCTAGCAAGGCCAGAGAAGTTAGTTTCCTTTGTTGCCATGGCTGCCTAATGTGAGTTTTAGCCAGGGGTCAGCAAACTTTTTCAGCAGGGGGCCGATCCACTGTCCCTCAGACCTTGTGGGGGGCCGGACTATTGGGGGGGGGAATGAACGAATTCCTATGCCCCACAAATAACCCAGAGATGCATTTTAAATAAAAGGACACATTCTAGTCATGTAAAAACATGCTGATTCCCAGACCGTCCGCGGGCCGGATTTAGAAGGTGATTGGGCCGGATCCAGGCCCCAGGCCTTAGTTTGCCTACCCATGTTTTAGCTCATTTTGGGTCAAGGTCACCACAAGGTTTTCTTCTGTGATTCCAGACACCTTCATCTGAATCTCTGCCATCGGCTGCCCAGAAACCAGGTGGAAGCAGATCTGATTTTAACCAGGGGCGTCAAGGCTCATATCCCCAATCCCAACCCACTAAAAACCCTGTACTTAATGCTTCGTAATTTAATTATTACCTTTCACTCCATTTACCATGAAACAGCAAGCACCTGTTTCATATTGGACCAAGAAATATTTTTGAGGGCAGGTGAGTGGGTGGGTTCACAGAATAAAGCCATATTAAACTTTGCACGGCAAAGAAAGAGGGAGTAGCTGTTATGAGTCTGTGGCTTTAGCCATTGTGTTATTTTATGACCAATGGTTTTTTGATTAATGTGCAAGCTCTTTTTCTAGCTGCTGTTAGAAATATCCCTGCCCACTCCTGAAGGGTTGCTTAAGAGTTTGGCCTAGCAAGCCCATCACCTTTCATGTCCTCCCCATGGCACCACTGCCTTTAATAGGGCATCTGGTGTACCAGGAGAATGCTAAACAATGAAGCTTTTGCAGTAAATTGCAGGAGAATTCAGGGATCCCATGAAAAACGACTTGAATGAACTGGATCCCCTTGTGCACAGCAAGAAAAAAATATTTCCTTTGGGTTGGGGAGGGTGTCATGTTGCGGATCCCCAAACATTAAATTGATATTCTGCACAAACATTTTAAGACTGGTTGTCATTTTGAGTACCACATGTTTTCACAGTTGGTTCTGTTGTACGCTAGTTTCATTTCTTTGACAGTTAAATCTAATAACTCCAAAATCTCCTGGCCTCTTTGAGGCATCAGTGCAGCTTATCAGTTTTGATTTTTATTTAACTTATTAAGAAAGCTCTTGCTGGCTGGTCTACTTTCTGCTAAAGGAAGCTGGTATAAGTCATAAAATTACATTATTAAAAAGTAATATACAGCTTGGATGATATAATTGACTATGGTCATATAATTCTTTTCAAAATGGGACACTTTTAGTCCACATGCTCTGGAGCTACTCTAAGATGTCAATGCCCTTACTACATCTCCAACACTTATTATGAGGATGAAGCCCCAGTTTAAGATGCTTGGAAACCAGTGGGTCCTGAGCATCATTTTCTGTTGAATTATCCTACCTGCCCTCCCTCCCTTTGATAAAAAGGGAAAGATTGGAGGGATGAGGGCTTGGGGGGGAGCTTTCCATGGGGGGGCAGATGGAGGGGAGAAGATTTAGCTGGCTACCTTATGCTAAAACGGGAGGTTGGGTACTGTGTGAGAATGGTGCGAAGGATGTTTGTCAGTAAGCAGTGCAAGCAAATGCATGTCTACTCACAAGCAAGCCCTACTGGATTTAATGGGGCTTGCTCCCAGGAAAGTAGAAGTTTAGTTGAACTTAGTAGGGCTTATGCACACACAGATTCCACTTAGACCTCCGAGTGGGGAAGCAGATGCAACCTGACAAGTAAATCACTTAAACTACTCTTAAATTAGTTGAAAATATATTAAATAAATTATATGGAAGTTTATTTAATATTTTTATTAAATCTACTACTTCTTTACATTTT